CTTTCAGGGAACTCATAAAATTGTGATAATAACCATAACTGTTGTATTGGCTGCGGACCACAAGAACAGTTTTATGGCTGTTCAGATATAGCTATTTCATCGTCAGTTTTCTAATACTGGTGTTCAACAAGAACGCCCACTTGGTTTCTTACCAATTTCAGAAAAAACTGTTGGTACATGCCAGGCAACACCACTTTTCAAAAGTCGATATCCTTATGCAGACAGACATTGTGAATTACAATGCAACCAGAATAAATGTCCACCAAGTACATACTGCACTGATGCTTGTAGAATCCACTGAATGTGGACGCATTTTACAAAATATATACTCATTTACTTACCTTTTTTTGATACAAACTTTATTTTGTTTACAAGGTTTTTATAAATGTATTTATTGCTATTGCATATTTATCTTTTTTTTTTACAAATAAAATCGTTTATTGATAGATTTGTTGTTTTTTCAAACACCAATAACTAAGTAACGGTCTGCAAAAGCGGTAAAAGGCTATAAATTTGACAAAAGAGATGGATAGATAGATATTTTATTCTCTAAAAGGTACAAGTTTACAGAGTAATACACTATATCTATGAAAATATACTACTCTAAGAACGTTTTGCAACACTTCCATTGAGATTTATTAGGGTCAAACTTTGAGTGCCCATATATTTGTAGAAAAGGCTCAAAATAATTTAAAATTAAAAACATGCCTGTGTGAATTGTGTAAAGATTTGATTAAAGAAGAAAACTAAATAATTATGACACAAAATTTGGGATAAAAAGTGCATCTACCAATTTTTTGCGAGGAAATGTTAAGTTTCTGTTCAAGTGTAATTAATTATACAATCAGATTCACCTCTTTGTCAATTTTGTGCATTGCATGTATTTTTAACTTGATCATGTACAAAATTTGTTGACATTGTGACTTTCAATAGTAACCCCTTCTCTCAAAGTTAAGGAAATTTGACCATAATAACTACTTCACTTTTGAATTCACAAATGATAGAAGAATAAGAATACAAAAACTTAAAATGTAATTGAAGATTTAGTTTTTCTTTATTTTCCGTCAGAAGTTGTGTTGCAAAAGTTGTTTTGAGTGGTAAATAATAGAGTTGTAGGTATACTTCCTTTTGTAACAGATGATCAACAAGGTTTCTCATTTACAAGCCATCGGTGTTGAAGTGTATTACGACCTTAAATCAAGACGATGAGGACATGCTTAATAAGACGTACAAACGCTGGTTACCACGATGTAACAAAAGCATGAGTAAAAATCCCACTCAGGTTTCAACAAATTTTGCTGTAAGAACTAACTTTGTTTGTTTAAATTTCATATATATGAAATTAGTTGTTCTAACCCGGTGTAATTCCTATTTGATATTTGAATGAAAATGTAAGTAGTAGATTTGTCAGATCTTTACACGTATTTATTTATTTGATACCATCAAAGGCGATATCTATGAAAATAATTCGGTTAATCTACACGTATGCATCAACACTCAAGTACTGCCGTCAATATTGACAATTTACTAAACTAGATTAGTATTGATTAGAACAAAATAATGAAACATAAATCAACTAACTCATCAAATGATAAAGTGGGTGGATTTTGATATAGCTTGTCCGATAAAAAGTTCTGTATCCAAACTATATTTGCTTAAATCAGTTATCAAGTTAGTAATAAGGAAATCGTTTTATCTCGTTTGTTTCCAAACAATGTTGTATATAAATAGTACAGAGATGAAGAAGGTTATAGCTCTTTTACCCAGATGTGATATCTTATCATTCATTTAAAGAATAATCATTACGGAGTGTTAAGAAAAGTCGAAATCTTCTAGCTGTATCATGTTAAGACCTTGAACTTCATGATGAGTTATGTCAAAAGATTTGAGCAATAAAGACCAGATTTCAGTTTCTTAATAGTAATTGATATATTTAATGGTGCAATTAAATATAAATAAGGAGATGTGGTTTGTTACCAATGATACATCTAACCCCCTCAGAAATGACGCACGTGTAAGTAAAAGCATTCAATAACGCCCTTACTTTAAAGTTAGCTATAGTAGTCCCCGTCATAATTAAAGGTAAAACAATGCAATTAAGAAAACCTACTGCCTTATTGAATGATAATTAAACAATCAATAAAAAATAACATATACGACAGAGAGGAACCAACGGCAACAACCGAATCACAGGCTCCTGACTTTGATAAAGGCACATATAGAATGTTACGGGGTTAAACATGTTTTCGAGTGCTCAAACCATCCCTTAACCACATCTTACCGAATGGAATTATCCTTACTAGACTCAACTACGACAAAATAGAAATTAAAAAAGACGAAATATAAATAACAAGTTTCAAAACATCACACAGAAAATCAAAGATTTAGCAACACGAACCCCATTAATAACCTATTTTAACTAGCTACTTCATGCTCTCAGGAAGGGTTAACAGTTTCAGCACTACTATATTTATACTTTTCACTCGTTTCGTAACTGCAACCAAAATTCGTTGATACGGCATTGTACAGTAGAAGTTCATGACGTCTTGGAGATTTGTGAACAAAAGTTCTATTAGAGAAAAGAAACAGACAACTTAACTTAGACATTATTTTTACTTATCGGGTGCCACATATGGAGCAGGATCTACTTACCCTTCAAGAGTACCTGAGATAGCCCACTTTGATAGTGGGGTTCGCGTTGCTCAGTCTTGAGTTTTTGTTTATGTTGTGTTTTGTAGGCTAATTCTCTTTTCGTCGTTTTTCTGTTCTATGATTTTGCCATGGTCTTGTCAGTTTGTCTTCGACTTATAAGTTTGAATATTCATTTGGTAACTTCTGCCTCTCGTTTAGCTGAAGTATCAGATGTATATTGCATTTGTTTTACTGCAGTTAAACATCCTACTGTATCCCGTTTACTAGAATAAATCCTGATGAAATGTAACTTAAACTTTCAGCAAAGAGTGCATGAGAGATAGGTATCCTTGTTTGAAATTGACAAATACAAATATGTCCGCTGAAAATTGATGAAAATGTACCCATGTAAAAATATAAAGACAAGTGATGGAGCTCTGTCTATCAGGTAGGTGATGTCAACGTCAACAATAATAGTCAAACGGCTAATGAATAGAACACAATGGTAATATTACCATTTGCTTATCTATTACAACATATATAAAAAATGTTCCCATTTGTTTGAATTGAAATGTGCGTTCTTCTAATAAAATCGAATGTCGGATAAGACTATATCAACTGTTTCTATAGCAAAAGTTACAAACGCATTTGAGTTATTTACATCCAAGTCGTTTGGTATCTTGTGGATAATTGTTTCATTGGCAAGCATACAGCATCTCTTTATTTTTATATGTAAAACTTGCACAACTCAATATTCACATGGTAGTTTTCAAAAATGTCTTTTTATCTCATATGACCAAACAGGGTGTTTTTGGGTTTGTTTTTTTTTTTGGCTCCGTCATCTGTCGGTCTGTCGTCCGTAGACGTTTTATTTTTAAATATCTTTTCATTCAAAACTAATAATCATGTTTAAATAAAACTTGATATGATTGATCCTTATGTAATTGTTCAGATTATTTTAGTTATATATTACCCCATCCCTTACGGCTTTCCCTACAAAGTTCAAAATTATAATAGATAGACAGTAATTGTAAAGTACCAACGTAATAAGCAACACAAAATCTTATAATTAAGATACTTATCTGACAGTCAATTGACTATTAATGGGGCTTATTGCCCTTAAATGACAATTGTTATTCTATATTTGTTATTATCCTATGATTGTCTTCACATCTGAAAATAACTGTTCCAATCTCAATAAATTTAAATTTCAATATGAGCGATCCTTATGTGATTAAGACTTAAGTTTTATAATTAAATTACGGTCGACATGACTGAAATAGAAAATAAGGATTTGAGGGCAAATGATATGGAAACTATAATAGATAATGAAAACATGACAAGTGCAAAAATACTCGCAGAATCCAAGTCAAATTCAAATCCTAAACCCAAACTAATTAACAAGCAAGTTCATATTTACAATGTGAATTACTTAGTCGTTAATATTCGGTTGAATGCAAGAAAATGGTTATTTTAACAGCTTTTCATGTTTTCCTTCATTTGAACGTTTTTATCAAATTGGCATGTTTTTCCAAATGAGCAATTAATTCTTGAATGGTAAAATGATTTATCCCTCTAATCTAAACATAAATTTGACCTCTTATGATCATGTCTGTAAATATAATTTTATATACATTCTGAAATTGTCCATGCTTTTATTGGATGTGACTCTAAATTGAAAAAATACCCAACTAAATATATTGATATCACAGGTATTCATCCCGCTTAAAATAAAAAAGTAAGATTCATCAGAGAGGTATAGAAAGGTAACATGCAATTTTTATACTTATTTTTTTATGTATTTTAAAAAATATACTGCAAAAAAAAAATTAAGACAAAAAATGTAAAGCACAAATAAATATTAATGGCAGCACAAGTCAATCGTTTTAGAGCAATTTTTTCGTATATTGTCTTCCCTCTTATTGATTGGCAGATTATTCGTGTCATTTGGAGCATACATCATCTAAATTTAATCATTATTTACGCCTTTCATATCTAACAAAAATTTAATAATTTCCTGATTGATAATTACTATACTCAGACCTGAAAGTAAAATTTTAACTGAAAACGGGTTTCGGACATAATCTACTTCAATTGATCAACTTTTGATGTTATAGAGTTAAACCACTTAAAAAAAACTGTTATGTTGAGAACTTTAATACATAGTTCAATTGCCAAGATAAAATATGTACTAAGCAAGCTTCTAATAATATCCTAAATTGATCGGAGATAAAACTGGAGTACTTAAACCGGTGTTCTAAAATAGGCTATTTTAAGTGTAGTGACATGCAATATTATAAAATTGTTCAGTGTAAATATAGTGGGGATGTAGTTTTCCTGCTGTTGTAGTATCACATAGCTCTAGGAGTATGGATCGGAGATTTTATCTACTTGTCGCAGTGACATTTTACATGATAAACAAATTGGCATTTGCTCAGTTTTGTGATATAAGTGATCTATTTGCCAATTGCTCAAAGCGTGATTTATCAAACATTCCTCAGAATCTTCCTACAAATACAACGGAACTTGATTTATCGGAAAATGTCATAACCGAAATAGGAGCCAGAACATTAAACAGATATCGTAAGCTATTACATTTATACATTGCAAACAACAAAATAAGCTCCTTGGATAGTGATGCTTTTTCGGGCTTAAACGAACTAAAGGTGCTTACCCTAATAGGAAATCGATTAGATCATACAAAATATCCGAACAATGTTTTCCGTCCGCTCAGGAACATACAAGAACTTTACTTAAATCGAAACATGAGGAGTCCTTCTCCGTTCGAGCCATTTTGCAATGGAAAACCTTGTAGATATTCCGATAAAGCGTTTAGCTGGTTGGTCAATCTTAAAGTTCTGTCAATAGATTTATGTGAAAATCCAGAGTTTGGCGAAGGTTTTTTAAATATGAAAAATTTGCAGAAGCTTTCATTTGATTATTGCTTAGTTTGTAAATTAAGTAATAAAACATTTGGAAACTTTAGAAATTCCAACGTCACTGTATTGAACCTTAGTCGATGCGAACTATATAAAATAAGTAAGTCTATTGAAGCTGGAATTTTCAATCCGTTTTCAACTGTGACAAGTCTAGATTTATCAAACTCGTACTTTAGCTTAAAGCACGCTCTGAAGCTCTTATTTCCCTTCCGTAATAAGAAAATGGACATGATAAATTTCCATCGTGTAAGTCGCGGATCTAGAACCAGTCCAGATAATCCATTTAAAATTGTTATTACAAGTGAAATGATGCAATATTTAAAAACTATATGTGTGAAAACTCTTATCATGTCATATAATGGAATTGTTGATGTCAGACCTAACTCATTATTTAGTCATGATCACCCAGAGTGCTTTGAAAATATCATAATGTCAGCGAATAGTTTTTCAGTGGAATATAATATCCAATACATGGAGGTTCTCAAATTATCAAACGCCGTCAAAAATCTGCGTCTCTTTGATTATTCGTACGTCCCGCTTCAGTTTTCAGACATGAAATTTATTCTCCCGCCAAATTCAATGATCTTAAACAATCATTTCCCGTCACTGTATACAGAAAGAAAACACCCAACCAATATGACGTTTAAACTGCCACCAAAACTAGAAATTTTGCGTTTCAGTTATGTTATGTCAGGGTCCAGTTTGTTTAGTTTGATATTAAAAAATACAAAGGCACTGAAATACTTAGATTTATCACATTTTGCCTTCCAAGAATTTCCTGATATTTTTATGCCCGAAGGTAACGTGTTAGAACACGTAGATTTTTCAGGAATAGATTCAAGACTTTATGTTGATAAGGGAGTAATTGAACTAATGCGAGACGTAAAAACTATTCTCTTACGTGACGCAAACTTAGATCTCACATTTAGAGAAGGGAAAAATGTTTTCAAGTATTTTGGAAACAGTACAGTTAATATTGATATTTCTTATAATCATCTAGTAACCCTTCCAAAGACATTTGGTGTGATATCAAATTTAGAACACGTCAATTTATCTTTTAACTCATTCCGACATTTTCCGAAGTCTTTGACATCACTATATAATCTCAAAATAGTGGACTTGAGATTTAATCAGTTGCTTACCATAAACAAAAAGGTTACACAATGGGCTGACAATGTTTTCCAGAAAACGAATCTATCATTACTGTTAAAAGGAAATGAATTTGCTTGCACTTGTGAAAACCGGGACTTTTTGAAATGGCTTACGCAAACAAAGGTTTTATTGGATACAAATAGAACTTATTATTGTCAATTTGCCAATGGAACAAGAACAACCACTCGATTCGTTGTAGAACGATTTCATGAGACGTTTTCAGATTGCGATGCAATCGCTTGGTTACGTATAGGCGTCATTTGCATCGTTTCGTCCTTTGTCATCATTTGTTTTTCGGCTGTTATTTATCAGTTTCGATGGAGAATGGCATATTTTTTCTATCGAAAACTAAAAGTGAACTATTTAATCGAATCGGACGACGTTGAATTCAAGTATGACATCTTCGTTGCATATGCATCCGATTGCTGCGAATGGCTAATAGGTTCACTTCTACCAATACTAGAAAAGGAATGGAAATTGAGTGTTTGTGTTAAAGATCGGGATTTCCCGGTAGGGGTAGATCGAGCAGATACTGTCATCAACAGCATGCGAAATAGTAAATTTATCATTTTCATAATTACACCAGGCTTCATCAAAAGGCAATGGGGAAAGTTCGAGATTGAAATGGCTAAATATGAAATGTTCGAGCAAAGAAAACAAAAGCGCATTATTGTCATAATGAAAGATGGGACGTCAAAAGAAGACGTTCCTATTGAATTTAGTATTATATGGAAAGATGTAATTATGATCGAATGGCCTGGTGATGATATGAACGCAGAGAATGTGTGGTATGATCTGAAATTGCAATTAAGTTGATCGCAGTACTAGGTTTTTAACACTTGTTGAAAATTAATCTATAAATTTAATTGTTAGCATGTAGATACTGCTATAAGAGTGGGATTTTGACGCTAAAAGAGAAGGTTACAGACGAATCATTGTATTTTCTAATTTAAACTGATTTAAAAACATAATTCAATAGTTCATTTTTACGATTTTTACTAATGAAAGATTATTTTTTGAAAGATAATTGTTTTTTTCCTTCGAGAGTTAACTACTGTTAAATAAAAAGAATTCTATTTTTCTTATTGCACTATCATTGACCCATTGACCACTTGTCATGAGAAAAGCAAAGAATTAGAAGAGTTTAGACCAGTGCATTAAATCAAATCTCAAAAGTTGTTATTGTCCTGTCTAGGTCCACCTCCTCATCGGCTAGTTTAAAGGAGACCAAGTTTTTATTTGCCAAACCTTATTTATCCTTTCCTTGCTACCATTCCAAGTGTTAACCACTCTGCTGAGGGTACCTATTTTTTTCAGAATAAGTATTCCAGAAATATATGCCACTGGATGCTCTGTCTTTTCATTTTCTTGACAGGTGGTATTTTTCTCTGAAATACATATGCTAAAAAAAATTTGTTATCAGAATTTTAATCCGCAAAATTCTGTTGTGACCATAACCTTAAATCAATTTTGAGCCTTTTTTACTCCGACAAGTGGTAAAATCTGATTTATTGCTCAACAATATTGCCCTGAAACTATCATATCATTAAATGGTCTCCTGAGAGACACTGTGACCATGACCTTTCACCTTCTTGCCCAACAATTTATAGAAGTCTTGTTCTTTCTTATCAAATTAAATTTGGTCAAGGCTAATTGTATTGTTCAAAAGATATCATCTGATATAATTTAATCTGGCCACAATGTTAGTCTATCAACTACTGACCTGGATTTACCTTCATTAGGAACGCTCAAAGCCGAATATTTGACCATTTCAATCAATTGAGCCTTAATCAAAGTTAGTTTTGTAAAACAATTGTTCTAAGCTCAAAAGATTTTGTTGTGAAAAAAAAAAATTGATGCACAGAGAGCATTTATCATGAAATTAAAAGCAATGGTGGATTGAGTGGCAATTCGCCTTAAAATAATCTAAAAGGACAATTACTCCAATGAACAGTCAATTAAAGTTTCAGTTAATACAAGGATTTATAACTAACTAATATACATCCATGGTCAATGTGACACATTTTTTTTATCATTTTTTTTAATTATCAATGAATACATATATCTTTCAAGAAGACAAAAAATGAAATGAGGTTAAAATCACTCAAATATTTATCATATGAAATATGAACACATAAAAACATGGCATCACATAAGCTATTCATGTCATAAAAAAACGAAAATACAAAATGTCAATCCAGTTTTGCATAAATATTAATACATATTCAATCAAGGTAAATTTATTCACCAACATTCAAAACAAAAAACATAAATAATAACAGAGAAATCTTGTGTTGAACAGGGATATTTTGCAGCTAGACTATACAACTTTTACCAAATGTCAGCAAGATAAGTTTCATTAATAAAGATTATACAAATAACCCCTTAGTTTACACATTACCATTTAGAATACTTAAAAATACACAAATTGTCTATTTACATTCCTAACAACAAAATGTTGTGGCAGTTTTTATTTGTGGTTAACTTATCATGACAAACAGTTTCAAATACAAATTGTGTCTGAATGTTTTCCATCTCATGAGTAATCCTTATTTCAGACAAAATTCAGCACTTCTGTAAAAATAATATAACAAAAATATAAGCTATTTGTTATTGTGTAAATCTATAAACATGACAAAATAATGAAATCTTCAGAAAGATACATTGCATATACGGTGGATCCATTGATTTCAAAATATAATAAATTTCATGGATTTAGTATGTAAAAACTATTTGAGAACTCACAAAATATATATCTACCATTGCACTGAAAGGAGCAAATTTTAAAACAAGAAATAATAAATCATTGAAACATTTATCTAATACAATGAAAAATGCTAACTACTGTAAATTCAGAAATAATTGCGTGCATTTATTATTGCGATTTTGTCGTTTTAGACTAAAATGCGATTCTAATTTTTGTGATATTGAGAACAATCCTGTTTAATTCATATAAAATATTTCAAAATGCGAGTTTAAATTATTGTGATTATAACCCTGTCACATTTTTCGCGATAATAAAAACATTGCAATAATTTCTGAATTTACAGTATTTCAATACACAGTAGTTTTCTAATTCTAAACAGACTAATTCTAAAATCTTCTGATCATGATAATGCTATTTTGAAATTGAGTAACCTGTAAGTAGGAATTTCATATCAATCAGTATCAAGTTTGACAGTCATTATGTAATCAGTCTATATTAGGACAAGATTGTTTCTTTACAATTTTGACACTGGAAAATGTGTTTTGTCGAAACAAGTCACCAATACAATGAAAATAAAAACCAGGAAATGAAATATAAATAAACTTTAAATGGCCAAAAATTGAATCTAAAGTGTACAATGCTTTTCATCTTAATTTAACTTTTAGATTTGAGTGTCACTGATGAGTCTATTGTAGACAAAACACACGTCTGGCATACAAAATTTGAATCCTGGTGTCTATGATAAGTTAATTTGTCTCATTTTCAATCATACCATATCTCCTTATTTTTTATAAAAACTATCATGAAATAGCAAAAATGACATGTATCATTATATAGAATGTAACAATTAGGTGCTATAAAGATAAAAGAAAAACCTGTCAATGCCACCCACCAATGAACATATTTAATCTGTTCAAGGACAATTACTCCAATATATATGTTTTGTTCTTTTAAACTTTTTCATAAATATCCTTCAAGAATAAAGTCATCAGATTGGTTACAATGCAATTTTTCATATAATTTCTATTTCCAAGAGGCATAACTCATGTAAAAATATTTGACCTTATTAAAAACTGTTTAAATAAATTACATTAAATTCCTACAAGGAATGTAGAGTGCTTACAATGCAATTTTGAATATAATTTACATTTCCTAGGATCATAACGCCTGTAAAAATTATTGGTCAGTGCTGATTTTTGAACTCCTATGAGACTGCATATATTTAGCCTTTGCATAAAAATCTGTCAAAAATGTAGGTTTGAGAGAGCTTTTAATGCAATAGTCCATAGAATTTACATTTGCAAGGGACATAACTCCTTATCAACAAGAAGTGTCACAGAATAGAAGTTCCTTCATAATATAAGTTCCAAAAGGAAAAAATATTCTGGAATACTATTTCCACAGGAATAAATATTACAGTATATGTTCCTAACGATATAAATGGTATAGAATATTTGTTCCAACAGGAATAGATATTATGACATTGTTTATAACAAAGTTTCCAGTGGAACTTCTGTTAGGCGGAACAAATATACGTTGACAGAAGCAAACCTGTATTGTGCAAAAACTGCCAGTTTGCTGATAAGGACTATTATATGAACATACTATATTTACTCTTGTATTGCTGATCATTTTTGCATTTTACATGTTTAACAAAGCTCCTATAGTTTTCACAATAATGGCCCAAAAATACAAAAAAATACATATTTCAAGTGCAACTACTCCAAAACAGGTAAACAGATTTTCCACAGTTTCAGGAGGGGTGCAGCTTGTCATGATGATAATTTTTGCAATTTACACTTTTTGCTAGTTCCTTCAATTTTTGAAAATATGTCAAGGAAATGCCAAAAAACTATTCTTCAAACCCACAAAAATAAAAAACCTGCAACAACTACATTGATCAATTGATTGTGGTTTGCTTCACATCCAGAGGAATATATTTCATGCATGTCCATAATGAGAAGAAATTAACAATAAAGCTTCATTGGCAGGCTTTGGTAAATTGGCTACACTAGATGAAGAGTGGGAAATTTGATCTGCCACAGAAAAAGAGAGTATTGTAAAGTAGTTTATTTTCCTGGAATTTAAATTTTGCAAGTTGTGGTTCAAAACCGGTTCACAAAGATCTCACTTTCAATTTTCTTGTACCTGATTCGAATCTTCTTTGCATAACAAAAATGAACAAGGGAATAATTTCACAAATTTATCTTAAATGGCAAAATTTTGTAAAAAAAACCCTGACGAAAATTTCCCCTTTACGGTAATTGTTGAATAGCAGTAAAAATTTTGCCTTTTTCAAGCCAACTATGGACCACTCAAAGGATTGTTGAAGGATTCTCTAACTTACAAATACCATTGCATTCTCCCTACATGCAAGATTTATATCCTCATACAGACTGGACATACACATCCTCTCTGCATGCATATCATGTTTACTGCTAAGCAGGACAAGTACAGAAGACAATAGCCTACTCCAGTTAACTTTTTGGTAAATCATTTAACAAATAAAATGAGTATTGTCTTCCTTAAGAAAACTTAGTCACCTTACATGCTATCACACTAAAAAAAATGCATCATTGAAACATGTTACATGATGCTAGGTCATTTAGTTTATGGTAACTTATATGTATGTTTAAAAACTAATCAAAGCCACAACACCATACAACATCATTTACATGGGTCATGTTAATTGTCACAGTCTGACAGGTATCTGACAATCTTTCAAAGATGCTGACACCAAATTGCCCTCCATAGATGTGTATGTGGACATGGATGGCTTGGGGCATCCCAATATTCAATTTTAAACTTCATTAAGAGGGGGAACTATAGAGATATTATGTAAGTATATTCTCCAATGGCTGAGCCAGACTAATAGTTTTGTTATAAATTAGGCTGTTAGTTTTCTCAATTGATTTGTTTCATATTTTTCATGTTGGGGCCTTTTATATTCGACTATCCAGTATGGGTTTTTCTCATTGTTGAAGACTGTACAGCTCCTATAGTTGCTTACATCCACTTCATTTGAACTTTGGTGGATAGTTGTCTCATTGGCATTCATACCACATCTCCTTATTTATATATTTATCATATATGTCATTAAACTGACATGATAGATGAATCTTTAGCATGCAATCTCTCAAAGTAATAGTTTGCTGAGAGAATTGTCAATCCATCCAGACATATCTTTCTCATGCTGAGCTTTATGTAAGTCTTTATGTTATTACTTCTTAATGCAGCATGCTCATAAGCACAAAAGCAAAAATAAATTTTGGTCTTTGGTTAAACCTGGCCACAGAAACTGTCTGTTATGATGATACAAAAATAAATCTCATCATTGAATGCAATTCTATATAAAACTATGGCACAGACATTACAATATAGCACAGACATTACAATATAGCACAACAATTTAACTAAATAGATTCATAGTAAAACACAGGCACTTTACAAACAATCATTTCATAAATACGTTTTCATCATTTAATAATATCTTCTAATGATAAATGTCCGGGCATCTAACAACATTGTTCAGACTTATTTTTTTTAATTTTTTTTTATAAAAAAAGTTTTAATTAATTTCACAAAACATAGAACAATTCAATTGAATGAAGTGAAATTCTTTCTCTCTTTCCTTGCATTTGCATTACAACACAAATACAATAAAATAAAAATTCACAACATGCAAATGGTGCATAAATTCATTTTGCAATTTTTTCTATCTCAGAAATTTTGTGATGCTATCAATATCGTTAATATTGTGACACGATAGGTTTCACAAAAATAATAAGCTGTATTTTAGATTTTGATAGTCTTATATGTATGCAAAATGTCTTGAAATCAAAAAAAAATAATGCAGTAGATTTGTCCATTGTTTACAAATTGCAATATTTAATGCATGCACAAATTCTGTATTTATAGTATTCACCATTAATCAATATTGAAAATTGGAGAAATTGGTAAAATTCATTCACCTAAGTCTATTTTTTTATGTAAAATATATCAAACTTGGCCAACAACATTCTCTAGCAGGGAAATGAATAAATAACAGTTTTCAACTCTTATAACAAGACCAGTATCAGTTTCACATGAATGTTAAATTACTTCAGATACACCTGAAAAGAATAAAAAATCTTCCAGTATAATTTTCAAGATTCTCATAAGTACATGCATAATAGTTTGTTTCTACTTTCCTTCAACATCAAGAATCTGATTCAAAAGATAGTTCACTTCCCCTTTTCCTAAGTGTTTTTTTATGGTGTAACTTTTCTTGTCCCTGTCTACGTAAGGCATTATTCAGTCTTGTGGCTCCCCACATCCACAGCCATTCAGGAATGCTATCTGATATCCATGCCTATAATAAAATAAAGTTATATTACATATACATACATTGGATGGATTATGAAACTCAGATCAGGAGGCATTTTATTGACTTAAACTTTGTCGTAAATGTAACCATCTGATGTAAAATTTGTTTTTTAAAGTGTTTTTTCTTCAATTTTCCACCTGAATGTAATGTGTTTACAGTACCCATGTAGCCATTCTGTTTGAATGATATCACTTGAAAGAAATATTGAGAAGATTCTTGTTTTGTTTTTGATTGTTGACTGCTAATAAATAAAGTACTATGAGTACTATGAGTATGATTTAACCTTTTTTTTTTAGTATTAAGAGAAAATCAAAGTATAGTGTTTTATTCATGCCTCCATCTTATTTATTTGTATTGAATGTCATTGGCGTAGATATATAAAAATGAAATATGCTATACATTTATAAAATGATAAATAGATGAAAAATTAACAAACAATAGTCATGCATGGTTTTTAAGCATTAAGAACGTCATTTTGCTAGAAAACTTAGTACTCAATATTTCAAACGCCGTAAAATATATTAGCTAAAGTACTGTCAATTTTACAGTGACAAATGTTATTTAAAAATTAAAGCACTGGTCTTGGAACACTGGGTCATGTAAGAAGTACAAGCTGCCTTGGCTGCCTTTAATACACTTGACTCTGTACTAAAGTAATCAGGATCCTTGAAACAGTTTATTGTAGCTTTTAGGAGGCTGTGAATTGTATTTTGAATCAATGCTTATCTGATGTCAGTTAGAACTGAAACTATTATATAATGTCCCAGGTTTGGATCTTCTTTAGCATGCTGAAGGTCCTTAATGTCTGCACTGGAGTGTGGCATAGTCAATGTTTCTTTGCTGAGTTGAAAATTTATTAAATGTTTTTTCGGCATCAAAACCTTCTGATCAATGTTTTGAAAACAACTTTCCACTTTTCTATCAATGCCGGTATTTATCGGTGTGTGCCATAGACAGAAGCCATAACAAGTTTTTAATATCCTATCACCTGTTTTTTGTTCAATCAAACTATTATCACTTGTTAATTAGCCACAGGCCAGGTCAAAATCTCCACATGTTGCCTAATCAGGTAATGTCAGTTACACAGGATATGTTCGATACACTTGGGTTTTTAGGCCTTCAATAACAAACATTTGTAAACATCATAATAAAAAATGGTGCCTGAAATTTTTCATTCATGATAATTTTTATACATGGGATTTTTTATCTCTTCAATGTGAGGACAGGAGGAGACCCCTGAAAATGGGATTGTTGTACTCCCATCGGGAGGTTCACATGTATGCATATATATTAAAATAAGGCAACTATCCACTTAAGACCAATAGATGTGAATGTTCACAACTATAGGTCACCATGCAGCCTTCAATAATGAGCAAATTTCATACTGTATAGTAAACTATAATAGCTCCCAGATAGACAAAATGTGAAACTTTCAAACATGAAAACCAATGGCCTGATTTATGTAAAAAAAATCAACAAATAAAAGAAGAACCTGTCTGAGGACACGAATGCCCCCACTCAAGCTTTGCAATCTTCCAAGTTAAAAAGGGGCATAACTCTAGAACAGTAAATGACTCACAACCCAAATTCGAACTCTGTCTGCATGTTGAGGTTCTAAGCATTGTGAATGAGTTTTATAAAATTCACAAACTTAAGTAAGAGTGATAAACAAAAATGGTACAGACAGAAGAACTGACAGACGGACGGTCAAGGATAACACTTTATGCCCTGTTGCCTACAGGGGGCATAAAAACAAATATCGCAAACAACAACCAACAATAACCTACAAATATATTTGAATACTTATTAAGTTGTTTTTCTCTCTAGTATTATTGATTTAAAACAATTTATGCAAGTATGAAAGTTACATGCAAATGAGCCTAACCCTGCTGTTGCTCATCACGGACAACTAAATTTAAAGAGATAAACTTAATTCAAACTAGACAAAGAGCATTATCACACCAACCTTTAAAGTAATTCACAGCCAGCAAAGTGTTTGCATATTGTAATCTTAAACTTAACTTTTTTGTTTATATACACATCTAAGATGTTAACAAGTTTGTAATACTTAAAAATCTATATTGAAAGTAAAAAAATTGTTTAAGACTAATTTTTGCATATCAAATCCTGTAGTTTTCATATTAAAAAAAACATCTCTCTTAAAATGACAACATGCTCTCTTTTTTCGAAATAATGGCTATGAGTATCAAATACTTCAAAAATAAGTAAATGTATATATCACTGTATACATGTACCTGTATAGTATGTGGCCAGTATCCTGATGTTCTGCTACTATATCCTAGTGTAGCTATTGCTGACTTGGCATAGTTATCTGCTGATGGTATAAATAAACCTGGTTTAGATAATGTCTGACTATAGCGTGTCATTCTAGTCGCAACATAAAATGGCATCAGAGACTGTACAATAACTCCTGAGTTCCGGTACTCATATTGTAATCCCCTGGCAAAATAGTCCAGGAAATACTGAAACATAAAATATCATCTTTTTGAGCTCAATGTACATAAATTATTGGAAAGTAAACAGATTTTCAGATATCTGATCCATTATCTGTTTAATTTTGAAGAAAAAGCCCATGGTATATTCTTATATATATAAACTCGCTGCAATTGTTTGCACCTGTCCTAAGTCAGGAATCTGATGTTCAGTAGTTGTCGTTTGTTGATGTGGTTCATAAGTGTTTCTCGTTTCTCGTTTTTTATATAGATTAGACCGTTGGTTTTCCCATTTGAATGGTTTTACACTAGTAATTTTTGGGGCCCTTTATAGCTTGCTGTTCGGTGTGAGCCAAGGCTCCTTGTTGAAGACCGCACTTTGACCTATAATGGTTTACTTTTATAAATTTTGACTTGGATGGAGAGTTGTCTCATTTGCACTCATACCACATCTTCTTATATCTATAGAAAAGATCCCTTTACTAAATGTTAGGTTCTTATGACTTTGTGTATATATCTATATATAGATACTATAATGGATGGTGACACTTTAATATAATAAATCATCTTATTTTATCTGTAAATTCCAGCATTGGGCAATTCTGTCAATTCATGCAGATATAGTAACCATGGTAATATTGTTTTTTTGTCTGTAGTGTGGACCAATGAAAAAAGTCTTAACAGTTTGTTCATACATACTTTATATACATCAGAATGTCCTGGTTAAATGAATAAACATAAAGCATTGTTGCAGTTCAGTGCAGAACGTTTGGACTTTTGTTTTATTAATATAAATTCCATTGATTAACTTTGACTTAAAGTGCACTGACCAATATTTGAAGAGTTATACACTTTACCCATACATTTTAAAAAGGAAGGCAAGCCCATCTACTGGTCATTTGAAAAAACTAATACAAAATGGATACATTCTTATTTATATCTATAACTACAGTTCTGTATACAGATAATAATTCTACACAATTGACTGAAAGCATTTGCAATGTAGAAAATATTTGATGATTGCAACAATGAAAATTACCAAGAAAATAAATGCAATTTAGGAAAAGCACATGCATGCCATCAAGTTTTGTTCCACTTGTTTATAAAATGTGTATTGGTATATAGTGCAAATAAATTTTTGTGATAATAATTGTTCAAATGTAAAAACTAAACTTTCTGGTAAGTGTTTTCAATTGCTTCTACTTTCCATGATTTTCACAATTTACGCTGCAGAACTATCAGGAGTTGATTCTAAAGTCTTAAGTCTGTATGTCTATATGAACATGGCAAAAATAAAGGGGGTGAAAGGATAAAGTTTACAATTTTTTAACCAAATCACAGAACTTATTTGAAACAGAGACTGAAAAAAATTGTCAATTTTTAGTAAAAATGATTTGTTAATAGCTATCTGAAATGTTGTTTTCGCTAATTAATTCTTTATGATTCAGACTGAATTCATTTCAATATAAATAATATAATTTTTTTGAACATCATATGGAGCATGCAAAATAATGGAAAATCTATCACTATAAAAAATACCTAAAGGGAGACAATCTAGTTTGAAGATTTCGAAAACTGACATTTTTTATTATTAACTCCATCATTCTTATTTCATGGGTCAACTTAAAAATTTTGGAATGCATCAATAATAGTGATATGTTTGCTTTACTTTGATATGGAATTCATATAATACATTTTCCATATCCAAAACAGCATATTAATATTATATATTATTTAAATAAAAGAACAGAGTTCCAATGTTTATATTTCCAAGGGCATCACTCTTTTAAAGAAAGTCGATCGTCCACCATTATAGAACTTGTCCGAGATATTGCTGATATTAACCAATAGTATATAGTTTTATAAAAAATCTGGCAAGAATTGTACCCTTCATTTCCAAGGGGCATAACTCTTTTAAAAAAAGGCAATCGTCCACCATTATAAAACTTGTCCGATATATTGCTGATATTAACATATGGCATAAGTTTTATAAAAATCTGGCAAGAATTGTACCCTTCAGAGTGCTAACAAGGCCATTTTCCATAAATTAAATATTTCCAAGGGGCAAGACTCTTTTAAAAAAAGTCGATCATCCACCATTATAAAACTTGTCTGAGATTTTGCTGATATTAACCTATAGTATAAGTTTTATAAAAATCTGGCAAGAATTGTACCCTTCAGAGCGCTAACGAGGCCATTTTCCATAAATTAAATATTTCCAAGGGGCATAACTCTCTTAATAAAAGTCGATCATCCACTATTATACAACTTGTCCGAGATATTGCTGATATTAACCTATGGTATAAGTTTTATTAAAATCTGGCAAGAATTGTACCCGTGAGAGTGCTAACAAGGCCATTTTCCATAAATTTGATATTTCCAAGGGGCATAACTCTTTTTAAAAAAGTCGATCAGCCACCATTATAAAACTTGTCCGAGATATTGCTGATATTAACCTATAGTATAAGTTTTATAACAATCTGGCAAGAATTGTACCTGTGAAAGCGCTCACAAGACTGTCGGACGCATGCACACACAGATGGACACACGGACAGACGCACCCCGTTTTCCATGTCCCCCGCAACACGTTACGCAGGGGACAAAAAAATGAAAGTTACAACAAATAGAATATTATAAGCAAGCAACAAGACATACTACGCTAACACTATTCTAACCGTTGTAGCAGCATACACTGTCATTTGTGGAGTAATTTTTGTACATGAACCTGAGGACACCATAACTATAGCTCCTTTTTTCCTGTAACAAACAATTTTTATACTCAAGTTTTACATTTTCTCTCAAAATCAGGCTCATAGGGTGAGAAAGATATGCTTAAATACCATAAAAGTACTATGTTCTATACCAGTGTGCATTTTGCTTAGACTATAGAAATTGTCAACAAAATATATGTTTAGCCCTAAAAATTGAAAATGAAGGCAGCAACCAACTTCTATATTTCAGTATTCCACTAAAGAAATAAATTGTTTTCTGAATGAACATTTTCTTTTCACTGAAAAAGTCTGAAATCAAAAAAGGGAGGGCAAATTTATGTAAGAATCTAAATATTCTTATCATTATCATCCTAAAGGTAAAAATTGGTGGTCAATCCAGGGGGTGAGTAGAGAGCATTAGCCCCAAACTTTTGATCGCCAAAACTTTTTTAAATCTTTTTTTTTTCATGATATGTATATAAATTTTTATTCAAAGTAGACCAAACTATTCTGGCCTTGCTCCGCTTGGTGATATGCATTCAAATATTGGGAATTATGCCCCTCTCCCTTTAAAAAATCCTTGATCTGCCCTTGAAAATAATATAGATGTAAAAAACTGTTTAAAGGCAATAAAACTGTGAGAGAGCCCACAAAAGGATATCCCACACCACCTTAAGTCTATTGAAGTAAGTATTCTCTATTATCTCCTCTTTATTATGTTTGATCTGGATTACTTCCTTTATGCACATCTTATCATCATAAGGTAGTGTTATACTTATATCCATCCTGAAGTCTAGGAAGAGTTCCACTTACAAGGAACATGGAAATACAAATGGACAGACAAGATAACTTCTATAGACTCCCCTCCCACTACCCCCCAAAATAAATTGTAGGATAAAATCAGTTCAACTGTGAAGCATTTGGGCAGCCATCCCAGATTATCAGGTACAATGTTTTAAAGATTTATAATTTTCTATTATTTTTAAATTGACAATTCATCTTCTTTTTTAAATATAAATTTTGGTCATCTCAATGAAAAATTTAATTTTGGTATTTTCAGTACTTTTATGGTATTTTAAACTGTCCTTCGATAAAAAAAAGGAATGCATTAAATACATTCAATCATCTAACCTTTGTTGCTGCATAAACAGTCATTTGTGGTGTGATTTGGGAACTTGACCCAGAGGCAAGCATGATAACAGCTCCCTTCCCTCTACAACAGAAAACATCTAGTCCAGATAATTATTCAACTATTTTGTGTTTAGCTTTCCTTTTAGAAGAAAATAAAGATATCAAAATGAAATATAAAATGCTCCGCTGGGCGCAGCTTGATACGACTGCAGAGGTCGAACCCTGAACAGTTGGGGCAAGTATGGACACAACATTCAAGCTTGATACAGCACTGAATTTGGATTGTGATTAAATATTTGACACAGCATAGGTTTCTGACACAGAGTGAATGTGGTCTAAGAACTTAAAAAGTTTTAATTTACCTATTCAAACCATATCATTATTATTTGCTTTTATATATAAATCAGGAATAACCAATTTTAAAAACGGAAAATTTTAAAGAAAAAAAAAGGAAAAAAAGGGAAAAAAAATCCCTCCCCCAAATTTTTTGAAACCCCTTATGATTCATCACCCCCAAACTCAATCCCAGCCTTCCTTTTGTGGTATGGTACCTTGCAGTACAATTTCAGAGAGATCCATACACAAGTTATTGTCTGGAAACTAGAAAAATGCTTGTTTTTAGGCCCCTTTTTTGGCCCCAAATTCCTAAACGTTTAGGGCAATTACCCCCAAACTCAAACCCAGCTTTCCCTTTGAGATGTGGACCCTTGTAGTACAATTTCATAAAGATCCATACACTTACACACAAGTTATTGTCATGTAACTAGAAAAATGCTTGTTTTTTTCCCCTTTTTGGCCCCTAATTCCTAACATTTTGAGGCAATTACCCCCAAAATCAATCCCAGCTTTCCCTTTGTGGTATGGTACCTTGCAGTACAATTTCAGAGAGATCCATACACTTGAACACAAGTTATTCTCTGGAAACTAGAAAAATGCTTATTTTTGGCCACTTTTTGGCCCCTTTTTCCTAAACGTTTTGGGCAATTACCCCCAAACTCAATTCCAGCTTTCCCTTTGTGATATGAAACCTTGTAGAACAATTTCAGAAAGATCCATACACTTACACACAAGTTATTATCATGAAACTAGAAAAATGCTTGTTTTTTGCCCCTTTTTTGGCCCCTAATTCCTAAAATTTTGAGGCAATTACCCCCAAAATCAATCCCAGCATATCCTTTGTGATATGGAACCTTGTGGTACAATGTCAGAGAGATCCATACACTAACACACAAGTTATGTCTGGAAGTTACAAAAATGTTTATTTTTGGCCCCTTTTTGGCCCCTAATTCCTTAACTGTTGGTACCATAACCCCCAAAATCAATCCCAACCTTCCTTTTGTGGTATTGAACCTTATGGTAAAATTTCATAGAGATCCATTCACTTAAACTAAAGTTAGAGTGCGAAAATCAATGTGTCTTTGGAAGACGACGTCGACAACGACGACGAGGTCATACCAATATACGACCACAAAATGTTTATGCTGTTGTATAATAAACTATTAGTGAAAACCATCATTCCATAAAGTCATAACTATCTGAACTACAGAAGATGATGCTGGGAACTTCAAGATTGTTTTGTTCTTTTCTCTGTATTTAAAAGTACAATCTTCATGCTTGAATAACCCTTATTTCTCAATGCATTCCGTGTAAGTTTACAAATCATAGTAAAGAAAGAATATAACATATTACAACAATAACTTAGGGAAGAAACACCCATTTACTAGAAATCTGAGCAATAAGTTTCTATTTTGATATTGGTTTCAAACTTATATAAATGAAATTATTTTTGCTGGCAGTGTTTTGTATACATACTAACCTTTGAACCATCTGTGGCATTATGAGATGTGTCATCTGTAAATAAAACACTAGAATTACATTTTTTTCCAGAATATAAATAAAAAACTTTGCAATGCTGTGCTATGAATGTGTTAATATAAACAATAAGACATTTTATTTAGAGAAATCACCTCTGGTCTCTGCAATTGCTGCTGTCAAGAGTAAAAGTATAATGTTGACTTACAAATATGAAACAAATTTATCAGTAATAAATTAAAATGCAGGGTGCAGCTTGATACAACCACAGAGGTCAAACCATTAACAGTTGGAGTAAGTATGGACACAACATTCAAGTTTGATACAGCTCGGAATTTGGATTGTGATTAAATATTTGACACAGCATTGGTTTCTGACACAGAATGAATGTGGTCTAAGGACTTCAAAATTTGAAATTGGACATTTACCGATTATGATCCAATATCCAAAATCTAAATACATGGTAAGTTTCAAGAATCCCAAGAATTCAATTTTTAATGAAATCAAACAGAGTTTAATTTTGGATCCTTTGGACCTCAATGTGGAATAATTTGATAATGGGGCCCAAAATCCAAATACACAGTTAGATTCAGCATATCAAAGAACCCCTTATATTACATTTTTGTTGAAATCAAAACAAAGTTAATTTTGGGCCCAACTTGGACCAACTTGAAAACAGGGCCTAAAATCAAAATACTAAATATACCGTTAGATTCAGCATATTTAAAGAACCCCAAGAATGCAACTTTTGTTGAAATCAAACAAAGTTTAATTTAGGACCCTTTAGACCTTAATGTGGGCCAATTTGAAAACGGGACCCAAAATTAAAAATCTTAATACACGGTTAGATTCATAATATTAAAGAGAAATCAAATCCCAACCTTCCTTTTTTGGTATTGAACCTTGTGGTACAATTTCATAGAGATCCATAGACTTATACTCAAGTTATTGTCTTGAAACCAGAAAATCCTTTTTTTTTTTACTCTTTTTGGTCCCTAATTCTGAAAAGGTTTAGGCCATAACCCCCAAAATCAATCCCAACTTTCCTTTTCAGGTATGGTACCTTGTGGTACAATTTCATAAAGATCCATACACTTATACACAAGTTATCATCCTGAAACAAGAAAAATACTTTTTTTTTGGTCCCTAATTCCTAAACAGTTAGGACAATAACCGCCAAAATCAATCCTATCCTTTCTTTTGTGATATGGAACCTTGTGGTACAATTTCATAGAGATCCATTCACTTATACTCAAGTTATTGTCTGGAAACCAAATGTCTTCGGACAACAACTACAATGTTGACAACATCATACCATTATAAAAATCATATGTTGTGCCCTCAACAAACTGTGAACATGATGAATAGAAACTATGGTTGACATTTAATCAAAGTATATCTATAAATAGCATAGCAAAGAAAGATCTACTGAGTAAGGTTATTTTTTTTTTACAATCTCTTTTAAACTGGAAGCAGTTTAAGGCTTGACATATGGCAGAAACATGTGTCTCTTATTGTAGGCTAGATGTTGTCATCAAGATGTCTTTTATGAGCTCTAAGGTAAATCTTTAGTAGTATCTGTCCAATTGTCTTCACAACTATTATACTCTATGGGCTGGTTAGAGCTTGACATAGGAGAAATTCTTATTGTAGACTAGATGTTGACATCAAGCTGTCTTATGAGCTCTTACATTGTGTCTTAGGATAGGTAATTCTTCTTCACAACTATTGAACACTCAGGGCGGATTCGAGCTTGACATATGGAGACACATGTGTCTTTTATTGTAGCCTAAATGTTGACATCAAGATGTCTGATTAGCTCTTAGGTAAATCTCTGGTAGTATCTGTTCAATTTTATTCACAACTATTATACACTTGACATATGGTAGGCACATGTGTCTCTTATTGTAGACCAAATGTTGACATCGAGATGTCTTATTGGCTCTTAGGTAAATTGGATCAATTTTTATGCCCCATTTATGCACATTGTTTTTCGGTCTGTGCGTCCGTTCGTTCTTTCGTCCGTCTGTCCCGCTTCAGGTTAAATATTTTATTCTTTCAGGTTAAAGTTTTTGGTCAAGGTAGTTTTTGATAAAGTTGAAGTCCAATCAACTTGAAACTTAGTACACATGTTCCCTATGATATGATCTTTCTAATTTTAATGCCAAATTAGAGTTTTGACCCCAATTTCACGGTCAACTGAACATAGAAAATGATAGTGCGAGTGGGGCGTCCATGTACTATGGACACATTCTTGTATTCACAACTATTACATGTTTTATACACTTGACATATGGTAGGCACATGTGTCTCTTATTGTAGACCAAATGTTGACATCAAGATCTTTTATTAGCTCATAGGTAAATCTTTGGTAGTTTCTGTTTGATTGTCATAATAACTATATTGTGTGCTTGGGGCAGGATAGAGCTAGACATATGGTAGACACATTTGTCTATCGCTGTTGACATCAAGATGCCTGATTATTTTTGTGTTGTGTAGTGTTGTTTAATTGACATTTACTTCACATGTCCTTTTATAGATATTCAAATGAATGTTAGTTTTTCTCGAATTTTACATACCATAGTTGCTGCTGCTACATTGACATTCACTAGTGACCACAATCTCTGTAAAATATCAAATTATATAAAAAAAATCTGCTAATACATGTACTCTCAAATTCATTAGTGGCCACAATCTCTATAAAATATCAAATCATCAAAAAATGTCTGCTAAAACACTCTGACGCATTCACTAGTGACAATAAATTTTGTAAAATATAAATTACTATAAAATGTTTACTGCCACACAAACAATTCACCTTTGTCAAATATCAAATGACTGTATAATGATTGCTGTCAAACTCACTTTCTCTATTAACATCAACCTGTCAAATATTAAATAATTGAAAAGATCGCTAGGGGCCCTATTTGGCTTAAATTTGGAGTATTTCAAAATACGGTGATTTTTGCTTAAATATAATTGGTACGCGAGTGCAAAGTTCAAAGCGTAAGGACTTTCAAATATTACAAATATTCACCAAAATTTTACAGTTTAAGATAGCATAAAATAAATATGTTTTTTCAAAAAAATGACAAAATTGCCTTCTGACACATATTTGTGAGTTTATAGAAATATTGTACACATGCAAATAAAAAATAAATATTTACATGAAAGATGTTTTTCTTTATTGACAAACATTATGGTTAATTATTTAGTTACACACTACAGCTTTTGGCTATATTTTCAGTGCCACTATTTCCCCAAGGAAGTACCAGTTTCATATTCTAATCTTTAAAATTTCCCGATCTTAATTACTTTTTACAACACAATCAACAGTTTTGCAGGTTAAAAGGTACAGCAAAGTAGGTTAATGTGATGCAGTGGCTATGTATCTATTTTATTCTAAATGAAATATTTTGCATGGATTATTAATTTTCTTGAAATGTGAGGAGGAAATTTAAATCAACTGTCAGCTGGAAATTTACTGAAAGAAATTTGGTTGCCTGGACATTATCCATTTACTGTTACTTGACCTTAAATTTAATTTCATTTCATTTCACTTACTGCGGATTCATTTATTTAGGTCGGTACCAATTTTCATTGATTGAGAATATAATGTAGTATCTTGGATATTTGATTTTGTGGTTTTGCAAAAGTTGTATACAAGCCTATAGAATATCTATACTTTGATGAACTTTTAAATTCTTTGTTTCCCAATACCCATAAAATCAACAAAAAATGGTACCCGAAAAAAATCATGTTTGAAAATGATAATGAATCCACAGTATTTGCCATTTTTTTAAATGAACTAAACATAGTCTTCATTTTTTAATAATATTAACAAACTGATATAAACAGAAACTGCTTTGGTTTAGGAAACCCCGACAATCACACAGATAAAAAAATTGAAATCATGTCTTATCATTGATAATTTTTAATTTTTTTCTAGGTATTGTGTACGATTTTATTCCATGTACATTTACTCCATATCCTTTCATTTTCTACTTATCATGCTTATTGATGAGACAGTGCAATTTTGACTAAATACTCTGTGAATCTGCTTTCAAGCTGAGGACAAAAAAGTGTGATATGAAAAACAAGATGATGAGGACGACCTCGGACCATTTAAGACAACAGAAGTGATCCCTGTGCGTTGCCCTAGTTGGACATTGTCAGGTGACACAATAATAAGAAATGGAAAAATTTTCAGATTACCTTCTAATTCTACATACCTCTACAGGAACATCTAAGAAAAGCTGAGGAAATTCATACATTACACCAACATTGTTTACTGTAATATAAAAAAAATATCAGATAATTTTCTTTATTATGAACATGAGAAGGAAGCTTTGTAATTCAATAGACTATGTGGCTGGGGAGTGGGGAACTGTTTAATAAGATTCTCTATTGCTTTATTATTCAACATAATGCCTTTTTGGCATAATGGCAATTGGAGATTATAGACAAAATTATTTAAAAAAATAAGCTGTTTATTGATGCATGAGTCTGTGAGGAATGGATTTGAGGTTGATATAACTTGCATATTTGTCGAAAACTTAGTATTAAGATACCCAAGTAAGAGTAAGGAAATTAGTACATTAAACACCTACTTTAGTCACTATAAAAGATTATATTTATAGTCCAGTTGCAAAGCCCCCCAATATTTCATTAATATTGAGGAAGAGAAGGAATTTGCAATGAAAAATCAAAGTATCATTGGTGCTGTGAGGCAGCCAACCTGACTTGAGCATCCATATATGAATTATTACAGTAAGTCTTTTCTTAACGAATGTTTCATTCAAAGCAGTTAATTATTAGTGAAGAAAAGAAAGAATATTGCTTATTAATTTTTTACGCATACCGGTAATCACTTCACAGTGCATGTGAGACCTCCAACATGGAGCAAACAATCCATAGGCGGATCCAGGGGGGGCCCTGGGGGGCCCGGGCTCCCCCTTTCATGGGAAAAATTTGGTTGATTATATAGGGAATCACTGAAGCATGACTGGAGCGTGCCCCCCTTAGGTCAGTCAGCGGGCCCCCCTTATGAAAAGTTCTGGATCCGCCACTGCAATCAGACCTCAATGCAAGTTCAAGACGGTCCCTTAAGCACCAGATTGAGTGGGACATGTGATAAAAACTTGCATTACAATTTGTTTCCTCCTTCAACACATGCCTTCTCATGAACAATAATATTCTTTGTTTGAACATATAAGTCAAAAACTGTGTTAAATATTGTATCTGTTATTATTATACACAAACAAAGTTTCATACCTAGTATACCAATTTCTTTGTCTTTAATTTGATTCCAAATCTTCTCATAAATTTCTTTTCCATGAGCAAAATCAACAGCTATTGTACAGGTTTCCACTTTATATTGTTCTTCTAATTAAATAGAACCATAACATCGTATAACAAATGTGTAATGAGAACTTGTCTAAAAACTTTAATGTATACAAAAATATCAAATATTGTTATCTTCCTAAACTAAATTCAAGTGACTAAAAAGGGTGCTAATTGTAAGAATATGGATTACTGCATAAAATTGAGAATAGAAATGGGGAATGTGTCAAAGAGACAACAACTGACCAAAGAGCAGAAAACTTATGCATGGTAAGTTTGAATTTCACTTCATCAATATATGTTTGTTACTGTAAATTCTGAAATTTTTGCGAAGTTTTATTTATTGTATAAAAATATGAAAACTTGAATTTCAAAAATTTTATTAGCAATATAAATCTGAAATCACAATAATTAATCTCACATTTGTAATTCTGATCTTTTATAAAGTAAATATATTTGATGACCATGATGACACTCAAAGGAACTCAGAGGCTGAGTTACTCCTTCCTCAAGTTAGGTTTGAATTGGTTCAGCCATTTTTAGAAGTCCAGTTTTCAAAATTCGACAAACCAGTAACTAGAATAGGCCATGATAATATAATGGTTGATGAATCAGCAGCAAAGAAACAATATTCCAAAAACTCCTTGTGACATTTCATTCATTTTATTCTGCTTAAGGGCTATCAAGAAAATGATTAAAATGTGAATTGAGAAAGGACTTAATTCAGATTCCAAGAAATAGTGACAGCAATACCTTATATGACTTTTGGCCCAATGAACTTAATATCGATTGGAATTATAGCCATGGGTTCTATTTTTTTTTATTAACTAATACAAACTAGTCTCTAGGATGAAACCAATGCCTATCTAATTTAAATTAGAACTTTATAGGAATCTCCTTTTCAGATATGTTGCAAAATTCAGTTTTAGTTAGATTGAAGTCAATGGCTACTTTTAGTTCATCTCAGCTTTCACATCTCTATTCTAATGACATAACTGGTGTCCTAAGGCCAATCTTCCTTTTTCAAAAGTGGCATTTTTTCTTAATCTTATACTGTTCATACAAACTTAAGATCTGCTTATACTTTATGAAACCAATGAAAAGTGGCAATGTTCCAAAACCACTTGAACAGGCTAGCATTAGAAATACTTGGGTAGATCTATTTAGCATATATACCTATATCTTTAGCTGCTCTGTATAACTTATTCTCTCCTCTACTTATCATAACAACATGTAATCCTCTACTGGCTAGTTCTTTGGCATAGGCTAATCCAATACCTTCACTACTACCTGTTACAACTGTAAAAATATATCATGTCACATGCTGATATCAATTGAATTAATAAAAACCAAAAGAGAAAAAAAATACAGCATTATTATATTCTTTTTGCTTATACAAACACGAATGTTTTTGGCAAGAAAAATACATGTAATTTGTAACCAGTTTTTTGTTAGAAAGTGTTTCAAGTCAGTGGCAAAAATTGGTGACAGTAAACATATTTTTTTTAATCTGGCTTTTGTCAAATACATGTAGGCAAGCATCCATGGCCGGATATGTATAGATTATAGGGTATTCTACACCTTGATTTTGAAAAATGTCAGCTGTGAGCCACAATGTGAACCTTTTGGGGAGTGAGAATAGTGAACGAGCGAAAAATCTTCACACTATGTTGAGCGGCTGATATTTTACGATATCAATACCCAAAAGCCCTGATAATCTGTTTATCATGCTATTTCTAGTTTTTTCCCCCTCCCTTAGACAGTTTTACGCTTGTCCAGTTGATAATGTCTCAGACTCACCTTACATATTGTGACGTCACTGATAACTTCTGCTGAAGCATTGTGACATCACTGATAAGTTTTGATCACATCTAAAGGCTGTGATACGAGAATAATGGAGCCATTAAGCGACGGATATAAGCAAAGGGAAGTACAAGAAAGTTTCCTATGACAATCATGATTTCACCAACAAGCAATTTATACATTCTTTAGTTAAAATTTTCAAATCAGATTGATTTTTTGCTTTTTGGTTGCTAAAAATTGGATAAAAGGCCTCTGTATCACTTTGAAAGTTATCATGCTTTACATAGACAGAAGCCCATTTTGTCTGGTATTGAACATGTTGAACCAGTCTGCAATTGATATGAGGATGAACAGTAACATGAGTGAGAAAATTAATAAAACGAAAAATTAATATACTAATGAACTCAAAATTGTTAACTTTTTTGTCCTTTTTTCTTTTCTTTTCGCAATTTGGTAAATCAAATTATTTATTGGTCAGCCATCTCTAATGAAACCAATAATGTAGAGTATCTCTCAAAGTTACTGATGGTTTTAAATGACATATCCAACTAAGTAAGACATCACATGACTTTGGTGACATAGGAGAGCCGCCATTTTGTGTTATATTGCCCCATATAAAATGCATAGGTGCTTCAATAAAGTTCAATCTTCTCATTAATCTGACCCGTTTTCTAACTTTTGCAACTTAATCCTTGGTATTCCAACATAATTCTACCAAACAATGTTGGTTCTGACAGTTTAATTATTGATTAAATTACGTCCCTGGACATTCGTAAATATCTCACTTTTTCTCATCATTTCCCAATTGACTCAATGCTAAATCTAGTGACCCCACGTCTACTTGTACTTTAAATTCACAAATTCCGTAAATAAAAGTAAAACTTTGCAACTCGATTGAGTATATCAAAACATATATCTGGCGAAGTATTCTACTTAAAATAGTTTAATTCGAGGGCAAATTATGTCCCACATCGATTTAAAAAAGTGATTTTTTCTGGATTTTTCAAAATGGCGGATGTGTTTGGGAGTGTTGCATGTATTTTTAATCATCGTGTATTTTTCATGCAGAATCTGTGCTGTTTCTGTTATTTTTGTTGTTGTTGATATATTGATACGTTTGATTTCAAAATTTATTGATAAAAAAAAATTATTTCAAGTGTGAAGTGAAACATAGCAGGGCAAAGTCAAAATAAATGGTCCAAATTTTAAATTTTTGACCAAATTTCAACATTGTTTCAGTGCACTTTCTTTTGTTGTATCTTGATACATATACATTTAAGTTAATAAATCCAAAAGGATATAAAAAAGTATAAAGAAAATAAAAAAGGTCTGAAACTTTATTGACATAAACCAATAAATAAAATTTAAATCAAGTATACATTTTTGGAATATGATTTCAGACAAACAATATCAAATATTTATATTTTTTTCACCCCAATTGATTGCAGAGATCCAAACATTACTTTTGATGCAATGATTAATAATCTCCTCTTTGATTATCACTTTTTTTTTTATGTTTTTGGCTTTTTTTTTGTATCAATTCACTTAAAATTGATTGAAAAAGTTTTGATTAAAACATAAATCATTAATTAGTTGATAAAAAAACTTCTCCATATTAAAATGAACCCTTTTTTAAATTCACAGAGGAAAAAAACTGATTGATAAATCTTTTAATAAAGAAGATATATCAAAAAGAAAATACATCCACTTGTTGCACTCCTGACATATTATACACCAAACAAAAAATACAGAAACTAGAACAAAATACTCATGATTTTTAAAAATTTGTAATCATTGCTGATTTATAAAGACCTAAATCTGTTATTTGAATGTTATTTCTATTTTAACTTATGCATCTTATGCACTTCAGTTCATATTTAAATTGATTTCTCTGACACATTATTATTAAAATCAGGTTAAGTTACCAAACAATGAACTAAATTCTATTAAATATTCAGCAGAATTGTTGTTTGACAAATTATAAAGAGATCTGCAATCTTCAAAGTTTTTCTGAACCATAATTTCTTTTTAAATTATTACCTATATAAGGTACTTTATTTCTCCTATTCTGTTGCACTCCTGACACTCAATATATATCATATCAAAACAGTTATACATCATCAAAATAGCCCATGATTTCTAGATGAAGTGTATATACCTTTCAGATTTAACGTTTTAATTTCATTTAAATAATATTTTTGAACTTTTTCATATCTATTACTTATTGTATACAGAAGTTCAAGTCTCATCACATTACGCTACTATTTTTTTTTAAATGGCAGTCTTTGCTGTTTTAGAATGAGCTGAATTTTGTGGCTTGTTGTGTAGAATATTACTGCAAAATATCTTTGGAAAATCTCAAGTATTAAAAAAATGACGTTAAAAAAAGATGCCAAAATTGTCAGGAGTGCAACACTTTTTTGTGACATTTTGAAAAAAATACTTTTTAAAGACACAGCAAATTGTTGTCTGAAGATATGTGCCTTAAATTCTAATTTGCTTTACAACTATTATGTCTTAGTGATAATTTAAGCTCAGAATGAAGCTTTTCCATTAAACCATTTTGATACAAAAGTAGTGCCCTGTCAGGAGTGCAACACAAAAATTAGTACAACTGAGGAATAAATGATTTTGGAATATATGAATCACACTTAAACATAAACAAAAGTCAATCCTGTAAAAAAGATATGTCCTTTCCAGAATAAATACTTTATTAACCTGATTATTGATATAAATAATGTGTGATAGTCAAGTAAAAAAGGCTTCCCTATAAATGGTCAGGAGTGCAACTTTGAAGTTTAAAGACTCACACTTAATAAATACAAAAGCCAACATATTGTTCTGTTTTATTTTTCAAAAGATACTATACTAGATAAAAGATTGCACCCAAAGAGTAGCCTGATAGACAAGGAATTTATCTTTCTGCACCATTTCTTTGATGTTTGGAGTGCAACAGTTTTAAAATGTTATTTTCTTGGACTTATATTTTAAGATAATATCAGCTCCTTATGACTTATTTGCCTTCAAATATGTTTTCTTGCTACTTAGGCTACATGTATGAGTTATAATAAATTCCTAAAGGTGAATTTCAAAGCAGGACTTTTCCAAAAATTATTGTTTGTCACAAGCAATTATATCTGAATGATGAATTTTTATATAATTTTTGAATTTAGGAAACTAATTGTCATAAACTGTGTCTTTTGATAAGAAAATAACCATATTTCAATTTAAAAGTTTTATAATGGTTTCATGTAATACTAATCAAATTATTATATCTGTAATAACAAACAATTAATTGTGTTGAACTCCTGACATGAATTTTCCATAACAAGCAGTTTTGCACATTTTGAGTTCAATTTTTATGATCCAACCTTTGAATGAATGAAAGATGGGAAAGATGGTTGTGAAACTGAACTTTAGAAGAAAATCAGACAGGCTAAGTGCATACAAACACACCATCAAAGTCAACAACAACTTCAATTTTGATGAGCAGAAAATTGAGAAAACTCTGAAAGAAGATCCACCTAAAGAAAACACTAGACAAGTATAAGCAAAGAAAACAAAACAATGTAAAATTAAATTACAAAGACTTAGACCTGAAGGCAAAAACACAGATGGAGAAAATGAAAAAAAACAAAACAGAGATTGGCAACAGAAGAGAAGAAGAAAATTGACACAAACCAAAAAAGTTGCAAACCAACAGAAAAATGTCCAGTCGAGAAGCAAAAGTACCGGTGCAGATACACTTTCTAGAAAAATCAGAAAGAGAAGACAAAGTATAAGGAAATTCTTCCTTCTTCAACCCAAACCTTGGCCTAAAACAATTGAATACCTTATATTCACAGCTACACCAAGGCAGTTGTAAGAGCTAATCAGTACTGATGGAAGTGTGCAAGAAATTGATGGGTGTCAAAGTGGAAACAAAGTTGAGAGACCCCTTAAGATCTGGAAACTGTTGAAAAGAAACTGGCATTTTCAAAAAGATAAGAAGGCTACCTGAAAAGTTTAGAACTAAGGGACTCTTTGAAAATGCCATTTTCTTTTCAACAGTTTTCAGATCTTTGAGGGGTTCCTCAACTTTGTTTATACTCAACATGTTCAAGACTCATCAATTTCGTGCACACAGCTGCCATCAGTTCTCATTAACTCGGACAACCACCTTGGTGTAGCTGTGCATGGATATGATGTGCTCAATTATTTTAGCCCAAGGTTTGGGATGGTCAGGAAGATAATGTCTTATTCTTTGACTTCTCTTTCTGATTTTTCTAGGTATTGTAACTGCATCTGTACTTCTGCTACTAGACTGGACAATTTTCTGCTGGTTTGCACCTTTTTTAGCTTGTGTCAATTTTCTTCTTCTTTTCTGTTGCCACTTTCTCTGTTTTGTTTTCATTTTCTCATATGTGTTTTTAATTCTGGTCTATGTTTTTTGAATTTAGTTTTACATTGTTTTGTTTTCTTTGTACTTTCTTTGTTTATATTTGTCTAGTTTGTCCTTCAGATTTGGATCTTCTTTCAGTGTTTTTCTCAATTTTCTACTCCTCAAAGTTGAAGTTGTTGTTGACTTTGATGGTGTGTTTGTATGCACTTAGCCTGTCTGATTTTCTTCTAAAGTTCAGTTTCACAACCATCTTTCCCATCTTTCATTCATTCAAAGGTTGGATCATAAAAATTGAACTCAAAATGTGCAAAACTGCATGTTATGGTAAATTCATGTCAGGAGTGCAACAAAATTAATTGTTTGTTATAACAATTATAATAATTTAATTAGTATTACATGAAACCATTATAAAACTTTTAAACTGAAATATGGTTATTTCCTAATCAAAAGACAAAGTTTAAGACAATAAGCTTCCATAATTTGAAAATAATATGAAAATTCATCATTCAGATATTTTTGCTTGTGACAAAAAATAATTCTTGGATCAAAGTCCTGCTTTGAAATTCACCTTTAGAAATTTATTATAACTCATACATGTAGCCTAAATAGTTAGAAAACATGTTTAGATGCAAATAAGTCATAAGGAGCTGATATTATCTTAAAATATAAGTCCAATAAAATAAAATTTTAAAACTGTTGCACTCCTGACATCAAAGAAATGGCTCAAAAAGATAAATTCCTTGTTTATCAGGCTACTCTTTGGATGCAATCTTGTATCTAGTATAGTATCTTTTGAAAAATAAAACAGAACAATATGTTGGCTTTTGTATTTATTAGATGTGAGTCTTTAAACTTCAAAGTTGCACTCCTGACACTCATAGGGAGGCCTTATTTACTTGACTCTCACACATTATTTATACCAATAATCAGGTAAATGAAGTATTCATTCTGGAAAGGACAAATTTGTTTTACAGGATTGACTTTTGTTTATGTTCAGGTGTGATTCATTTATTAAAAAAACATTCTATTCCTCAGTAGTACTAATTTATGACAGGGCACTACTTTTTTTCAAAACACATCTGTATCAAAATGGTTTAATGGAAAAGCTTCATTCTAAGCTAAATTCATCACTAAGACATAATAGTTGTAAAACAAATTAGAATTTAAGGCACATACCTCCATACAACAATTTGCTGTGTCTTTAAAAAAAAGTATTTTTTCAAAATGTCACAAAAAAGTGTTGCACTCCTGACAATTTTGGCATCTTTTTTTAACATCATTTTTTTAATACTTGAGATTTTCCAAAGATATTTTGCAGTAATATTCTACACATCAAGCCACATTATTTGAAATTACTTTATTCAATCAAATGATCAGTATGATTGATAAATATTGCTTTATATGCAGGGAACCATTTATTTGGACTTTGCCCAGCAGGAAACATATATTTTGACAGATATATTGTTTCCAGAAAATAGTTAACACTGAAATTACAAATTTATTTGTAATAAAAAATTATTTTTCACTTTTTTGGGGTTTTTTTCCCCCTTTTCTGTATAATTTATTTTTATTTTCAAAAATATATAACTTTTTTATAGAAAAAAATGTTTTCGTCTCTAGAGAGAAAAAAATAATGCCCAACAAAAGATAAATGCTCTGTACCTTTTAAAGTTAATCCCTTGACGAACAGGTGAAGTCGAATTAAGGTTATAATGTTACATAACAACAAATTGTCAGGTAATGCAAAGGAATCGTGTCAAACCAAAAGCCACCAGGTGACATTAATATCCTTGAATACACATGTATTTCCAGAGTTAAGATTTTGTTATATATACAAACGTTGTAAGTGCACCAATAAATATTTTCTCTTTCCCGTGTACACACCTGAAGAAATATATACCATAAAGAACTTTAAGAAAAATGAATATTATGAAAAATTCTTCGATAAGTTGATTTTTGCTTAAAAAAAAATAAAATATTAATGTTACACGATAATTGTTTTGAAACAAATACTCTCATTCAAATTTTATATTTGATAGTTTTTTTTATTATTTTATAGAAAACGAGACTTCATTGCATATGATTTTTGTCATTAATTTTTTTCAATTCAATATAAGCAAAATCCAGTATGTTCCAAATATTTAATTACAATCCAAATTCAGACCTGTATCAAGCGCGAATATTGTGTCCATTTTTGCCCAGGCATTTAAACCGATATTGAAATTTTAACTTGTGTACAAAAACTTGTGATTGCATACATTTCAACATGGTATACCCGCTCATATTTATCGACAGAGTTATTAGTCCTGAATAGGACTGATATAGTTGGGTATGTTGTGGTTTTTTGTATCATGTGTAATGTTATAATTTGTTAATGTGAAAATACTTGAGACCTTGGTAATGAGATTCAAAATCATTTATTTGCAGTTTGAATTTTGCAAAAATCAGTATTTAATTAGTTATTTATACGGACTTTGTCCTCTTTCTTGTTCTGAATATGCATGAAATATTTGCCACTGGACGCTAAGCAAATATCAATCAATCAATCATCTTTAACAGGTAATAACTACCTCATCTTGAAAAAAAGCTTTAAAATATCAATTCAGACAAAACAAAACAAATTCTCTATATTTAAATTACCCGCCCATGCTCCAAAACGTTTTTTGTAATTGCTGATATACGAAAGTTTGCTCAGGAGATGGTCGTTTGTTGCTTTTATCAATCCTATGAGACATTGTAGCGTTCGTTTACAAGCATAAAATACACCAATAAATGCTAAAATATCTCTGGTATTTGTACATGTTCTTTCTAACTCTTTAAGGAGAAAGTCAAAGCTGTCAACTACCGCCATTTCCCGACCTTACTTTCCGGTAATGTACTATACCATCACTTTTCTACCCTCCAATAAAAGAGTATAGTCATAATACCGAAAACGAAAGCGAACAAAAAGGAACTGTAACATGTGATGAGTTCCCTGATATTACTATTACAGACATTACATGTTATCAATACGATATTACAATAGCAGTAATTTAAGTATTTGTCCCTGTATCCTTTTTTCTTATACATATTGATATATGCCGACTTTAAACAAATTTAGTTAGTTACTTACTTACTTATTTTCGTGGAAAACAAGAATAGAGGCCGGAACAAACAATGACAACAATGTAAATGACTCTCGAGAAATGACTCAGTTTAACATTGCATGATTAAGAGTAAGAGCACATTAATTATCAAAGAGAAAATAAGTGTAATCGTTAACAAAAAATGTTAAAATTCAAACACAATAATAATAAATGGGAAAAGAACAAAACGGGGCTGAGCTAGTAATTAGATGTAAACTGCATTTGGCTCTTCTGTTTATCCGTCCATATGATACTGAACATACATTATCTCTTATATCTCTCCTTGCTCTTGAAAAATAGAGGGGTCGGTATTTTCCGACCCAAATAGATCACCCGCAAACATGATATTTTATCATGTACTATAGTAATTAAGTACGACTTTTTATCACAGCTGCACTTGTCTCAGAATTTTTTCTTCTTCTATATACCTAAATATATAAAAAAAAATTCTGAGACAAGTGCCTGTGTTGAATTAGCACCAATGAAAAAGCTTGAAAACGGCTCGGTATCAACCTGATGCAAAATCACAAGGAAATATAAAAATAAGAAGATGTGGTATGATTGCCAATGAGACAACTCTCCACCAGAGACCAAGTGACGTAGAAGTTATTTAACAACTACAGATCACCTTATGTCATAGGCAAACCTCATTTCACAGGTAGTTGGTACATGCCACCAGATGCATGTACCAGCTAATTAGATAAATGTACTGAAAGAAAAATTAGACTAGATAAAAGCACAGGGTTGATATAATTGTAATCATCAAAACTATTTTCTGGGAGATTTCCAAAGATACTAATTCAATTCTTTTAATACTTTAAGTAAATATTGCTCATCAGCACAATGACATTAAATGTTTTAAACATGTAATAAATATATGCAAATACAATAACTGATATTAAATAAATATATGCAAATACAATAACTGATATTAAATAAATATATGCAAATACAATAACTGATATTAAATAAATATATGCAAATACAATAACTTATAAATTTATATATGCAAATACAATAACTGATAAATAAATACATATATATAATGCATATATAACATGTAAAATGATAAATGAATGCATCCGAGAAGAATAATGACCTATATTAAGTATTGGATACTATAAAAAGTCTGTTCTACGTTTGAAAACACAGAAAAGAAATTTACAAAGGTTATGGTCAGATCATATGTTTTCGTACTATACATGCTTTTCCAAAGGAAATTGTGAGGTCAAAATGAATTCTGTCAATTCTGATCAATAGCACGAAAATCCATGAGACGAGGATACATACAATGTCATATGTCTTTTACATTTTCTGAGCTCAACAACTGTACATGTTTAAATGCATGACGATGGACGCCTATAATAATATGGCTAACTAAGAATTGCAAGACTAAGAACACACAGCTGCTGATAGCGAGGATCAGTCATTGATAGACATACTAAATCTAGACCGAAGAGAACTTTTTTATTTACATGTACACAAAGGGAGATTATAACCATGCAGATGAAAGAAGACACAACACATTTTTCTACATATTATTTCTTAAATTGACACACAATCGACCAGAGCAGGAAATTTGAAATTGATAAAACAAAATACTAATGCATTATGTAAATAAATCAATAGCCTGAAAATAGACAAACAATGGATACCACCTCATCAGATAAAACATGAAAATAGCCAAAACCGACAGCGAGGATGCTTTAGCTTTAAACCAACAGTTTCCAGTGGCGGATCCAGAACTTTTTATAAGGGGGAGGGGGCCCTGACTGACCTAAAAGGGGGGGGGGCTCTAGTCATGCTTCAGTGATTCCCTATATAATCAACCAAATTTTTCCCACAAAAGGGGGGCAAGGGTACCCAAGCAACTCCCCCCCCCCCCCCCCCCCCCCCCACCCACCCACCCACCCACCCACCCGGATCCGCCTATAATGGTTTCCACGAGTTTTCACAGAAACAAAGTTTGCCTAGTAGTAGACCAATAGCACGAATTGCTAACAAAGTAAGGAACTTCAATATACTAGTAACCTACATAGGAGAAAAGATGATAAAGAATATATAGCCACCAATATTGACCAAAGCAATAAGACCTAACTGCATTAGTTTAAACATATTTTATTGTTCAAAAATGACAAATGGATTAGACACAAGTTTTTCAACTTAGTAACGTCTTCTCCAAAAACTGCATTCATCCCCGTGTATTGACTTTAATATCAACAGAGCAACTGTAAACATCTTAGCTAAATTCCTTCAACAATCGAAGAATGGAAACGTCAGGTAAATATCTGACTTCTATTAAATAATAACGAAAAGTACATATATCAAGTAATCATCGACCAGTATCAGTATCCTGTATAACATGTAAATTAATAGTCTAAGAACACATCATTTGTTCAAACCTTGTGCAACACTTTGAAGACCAAAACATAATCAACAACAGACAGCACTATGGCAAGCCGTTTTAATCTTTATTCTAACTTCATATATCTTATATAATCCAGTTTTTATAAACTGGTCAAACTACAAGCATTTCCAAAAAGAATGCAAAAGACAAGTCCGAAAGGCTGAATGGGAATACATCAACAACACCATAATGGAAAGACTGGAAAACGCTATCCTGGAATACAACAATCCAAAGCCTTTTTGGAAATACATAAAATCGAGAAAACAAGACAACATAGGAGTATCACCGTTGAAAAGCAATGGCCATTTAGTGAATGGCAGTAAAGGGAAGGCAGAACTACTGATACAACATTCAAATCAGTATTCACAAGAGACAACGACAAACACTGCCTAAAACATCAAAACACATAAAGAACTCAATCCCAATCCTCGAAATAAAACATAAAGGTGTCGAAAAACTGCTCAGACAACTTAATCCATTAAAAGCATCAGGACCAGACGGTATACCAAACAGAATCCTCAAGGAAGGCTCTAAACAACTAGCACAGAAAATTACAGACCGGTATCACTAACATCTGTGCCGTGTAAAATACTAGAACACATCATCTGTAAGCACATGCTAAACCACCTAGACAAGCACAGCTAGGGTACTAACATTACTTAACCATGGATTCAGATCCGGGTACTCGTGTGAAACACAGCTACTAGTCACACTGCACGACTTCATGAAATCACACGATGCTGGTAACCAAGTTGATGTTGCTATCCGGCCTGGACTTTTCAAAAGTATTTGACACCGTGCCACATAACAAATTATTACACAAACCTGATGAATATGGTGTGAGAGGACCACTGAATAAATGGCTCGAAATGTTTCTCACTCAGAGAAATATGAAGGTTGTCATTGGTGGAGAGGAATCTGAAGAAGCTACAGTGGACTCAGGAACCGTACTCGGACCCCTTCTTTTCCTCTGTCATATCAACGACCTACCAGATGCAGTAAAATCAACCGTTAGACTTTTTGCTGATGATTGTCTGCTATTCAGAAATATAAAAACACAACATGACCACACTCTATTACAACAAGATCTGGTGAGCCTAGAAAAATGGGCCAAAGACTGGGGTATGCGCTTTAACGCAAAGAAATGTTACATCCTGAGCATTAAGAACAAAAGCCAGAAATGCTATGCCCTCGATGGACACATACTCCAACAAGTCCAACACAATCCATACTTGGGGATACCGATATATATCAGAAGATCTAAAATGGACCACCCACGTTTCAAATGTAGCCAAGAAAGCAAATTCGACACTAGGCTTTCTAAGACGCAACCGAAGATTCTGCCCAAAAGACTGCAAGAAAACAGCATACATCTCATTGGTAAGATCTACGATGGAATATGGGGCAATTGTATGGGACCCATATACAACAAACAACATCAACCAATTAGAAAGGATCCAGCGAAGAGCAGCGCGATTCATCACAGGGGATTACAAATCTAGAGAAGAAGGATTGGTCACCAAAATGCTTACCGTACTGGAACTAGAAAACCTGCAGTCTAGAAGAACAGGCCAAAGACTGGTATTTCTGTACAAAGTGGTTGAGGGTTTGGTCCCAGCTATCAAACCTGACATTTTTTGGTAAAGAGCAAAACCAAAAGGCTTATCAAACCGAAATGTTTTGAATCATTATTTTTTTCTATATAGATTATCAACTATATCTTTTATTACCATATAGCATATAAGTCGGGTTAAGCGATCTGTGTAACTAAAGTTCTTTATTGCCAAGTTTTAGATATCTTAAATGATCCGTATGGAGGTGTTCTTAATTGCAGGAAGCTAATACAGATAAGAAATATAAATGTTCCGAATGAACAATAATTAGGGTTCTGAATATTCCTCCATAGAATATATTTCTAACTAATTAATATGTAACCATAGATGTATATGGGTTTATACATCTATGGTGTAACACACGACTTGGGAACTTCCATCGACATCAGGAAACAGATTGACATCTTTATACTTGATTCTAAAAAGGTTAATTATTACGGTACCTCGCAAACTTTTAAAATGTAAGCTTGGTGGATATGGAGTACAAACAAACATATCAAAGTGGATACACACATTCTTAACACAATGTGTGGTAGTAAATATTTGCAATTCAAGAACAACACCAGTGTTTTAATGAGTCCCGCAAGGTATACCGTCTTGGGACCCATATTAATTATTAATTTACATCTCAGTCTGTAAATATTTCATCTGATATCAGACTATTAGCAGATGACTGTGTTACTTTGCTTCAGGGAAATCAATACCATCAAGTATTGAAAACAAGTTGCTTTCTTTATGAAAAGAAAATTCACTTTCCGTGAGTGAAATAAATGCATGCATGTGTTTTTTTGTGTGCAAGAAATAGTATATGGAAAGCATGCGAACTCATAATCACGCATATTTATTCTAGGCTCAAATATAATGCAAGTTGAATTCTGATGTCAAACTAACTACCTCAAGTCGTTTGCCATTGTCATTTAATCCTGAATTTGTGTAAACGAAACCGATATTGTTGTCAAATAGGATTTACAAAATCGCACCATATTGCAAAGATTTAGGTGCTATAAGGTTGAACTATTAAAACAAAAACAAAATGGCTTCGCCGCGGTTGACAATGTTTTCTCGGGGTAACAATCTGCTCTATCACCCTCTCAGTTATGTGTTATTTATATACTATCACATGGCTGAGCGGGTGACAATTTTTTTGAATGTCACCTTCTCGTCCAGACCAATCAAAAATCAATAATTTAAAGGACAATGAATTGAATTTACATCAAGTTATTAAAGGCAATGCTTAAGATCTACGTTTTGGCTCAGATTCTTTTATTTGACTGTCAAAATAAAAAAAATAAAACATCTTGCTTCACTTCTGTTGATTTTTCTAATACCCGTAACGTTGTTATGTACGTGACGTCATAGAAAATACTTTTAAAATAAAATTAATCTGTAAAAGACAATAATTATAGAACATTCAGTATAATAAATTAAATAACACATAGCTGAGAGGGTGATAGAGCAGATTGGTACCCCTCGAAAAACCATTGTCAACCTTGGCTTCGCCGCGGATGACAATGTTTTCTCGGGGTAACAATCTGCTCTATCACCCTCTCAGCTATGTGTTATTTATATAATAGTATGAGATACATTGTTAACGATAAAAATAACTCATAAGATGCTGAGATCAATGATCAGACTATAAAATCGGTATAAATGTACTATATATATGATAGTTGTTAATTTCTGTGTCATTTGGGCTCTTGTGGAGAGTTGTCTCATTGGCAATCATACCACATTTTCTTATTTTTATATGTTTTCTGTTAATCTAATTAAAATACAGGTCATGTGATGATGTGTGATTAACAGCATGTACAAGCAAAGCGTGGACACAGCATCTATATTTAATCAGATTGCTTTTCTGTTGTCTATTTAATACGTCATCGCCGTTATCAATTTGGTGTACGTTGAAAATGGAACCGACACGATGGTGTTTAAAAATGGTTTTATCTCATTGTGCTGCAATGATCACCTTTATACTTTGATTATAGTTCAGGTAAATGGAAGTTTCTGGAAGTACACTTGTTATGATTCATTGTGAATTTTAATTCATAAGTACTAACAAAAAGATCGTGTGACCTACATTTTATGATTCAATAATGGTTAAACTATATAAAACTACAGGCTATATTAAAGTTTAATATCAAGTCTGAATCAGTTAAAATGGGAATAATTTCAACTAATAACACGAAATGTGCGTCAACTTTCAGAAATAATGCAGGCTTCTTATATAGATTCAGATTCTTTATTTCTTATAAAACCAAGTTAATTTAATGGTACAAAGAAAGACATTTTTACATATAATTGCATACAGATTCTGCGCATGACAAGTTTGTACAAAACGAGCATAAAAAGATGAGTGATCGATGATCAACCTGGAGAACATACTTCTATATTGATAATTCTGATTAATTTACACAAATTTTTCAATACCCGAATATTTGTTGAAACAAATAAACTGCCGAATTTCAAAACATTTACTCGACTTACATAGTAAGGTTTAAGAAAAGCTCTTATAGAAAGTGTTTGGTTGGCACTCGGTCTGATAAAGAGATAAGGCCGATTTTCCATGTAATTGTTTGCAGGCTATTTCTTTCACTCACAGGGTGGAAATCTGAAGTATTTGTTTCACTCACAGGGTGGAAATCTGAGGTATTTGTTTCACTCACAGGGTGGAAATCTGAAGTATTTGCTTCACTCACAGGGTGGAAATCTGAAGTATTTGTTTCACTCACAGGGTGGAAATCTAAGTATTTGTTTCACTCACAGCTAGGAAATCTAAAATTCTTCTAGAAACAGAATATTGAACTTTATATCATATACATGTACTTTAACTATTTGGCAACGATTTTATAAATTTGCATTATAAACCAAAACTCTATTCAGCAGTACATGTTGCTGATGTAGGCATTTTGATACAAATTGCAAATTTTAAAATTACATGTTTTATTCAAATGATGCACCCTATGACATCACTAACTAAAATTAATTAATGTGTATCCCAAAAACAAGACATAGCTTTACTACCGACAGGAATTTGGATTGAGTCAACGAAATCCTGCCTATATACTTTTTGGATAAATATTCTAATTTTTTTTTTAAATCTGTCAAAATTTCGGTTTTGAACAATTATCTGGCGGTAATAATTAGGTGTTCTGATTTGTTTATAATGTGCCATTATATTATTAAAACCTTAAAGTAGACACAGTCAGTTGTGATGAGTGTGAATTTAAGTAAAGATTGGGGCACGTTTTGAAAGTTGCCCTGGTGTGAAACAAATCCACGGGAAAATAAGTCCTCTGTTTTCATATAGTATGACCCCAAGGGTTGACTGGGGAAAAACAATAAAGTCATATCTGGATATCTTGCTAAAGTGGGGTACCGGTGTCCGTTTGGCTGTGCAGAATGTAAAAATAAGCAACCACGTCCAGTCGGAATGGGGACTTATCATTTTTTTTATACGATGTCTTCAGTAGGATGAGTGCGATCTCTGCACGTTAGTTAACTAATCTTCACAACATTTTTCTAATGTGTCCGGGCCTGTTGCATGCAACATATCCGCTTCTTTTAAATATCCTATCATTTTCAAGGTGCTACAAGTGCCAAAGTTGTCCAACCCTTATCCCGATCAACCTTTTTGAATATGCATGACATATTTGCCACTGGACGTTCAGCTATCACTCAATCGTGTAGCCTGCTACTATCTAGATTAGTGGAATAACAAATGGCTCAAAGAAAATCACACAAACAAAACCTGATTTCGAGAAAGCTCATAACCCAATAATATCAGTATTACGATAAACAACACTGTAAACACAGTTAAATGTAAAACTACACATGTTGTATGTAATAACATCCTCATGAATACAAATACGAATGTAGAAATAATTTTCTACAAAACAGGGGTTGGATGACAAACGGCTGCATCAAAAGGTGAAGATATAGGAATTTGCTTGAAGGAAATCTGCAATAGTTTTATGATGTAGACCCATTTTGACTATTCTTTTTTTTACATAATAAGCAGCCAGTTTAATTGTAACTTTTACTTAGTAAAGTAGATTTGTATGTTTCGGAGTTTAGTGTGGCGTTAATTTCGATGAAATTGTTTACATTATTGTAAAGTGCCCAGCTGAAACCCGCCTCCGGGTGCGGGATTTTCTCGCTGCGTTGAAGACCCATTGGTTGCCTTTGGATGTGTTCTGCTCCTAGGTCTAGTCGTTGTCTCTTTGACACATTCCCCGTTCCCATTCTATATTCTATTACGCGTCATAACGTTTTTCTCAGGGTGATGTGTACTGTAAATGTCTAGTGATGAGTTTTCCATATATGACCCTAGCAGAGATATACCTGGTAAAACATATTCACGAAAAGATCCATAAACTATATTTATTTGTATATGTATTATTTAGTTTTGCAATTTTCAGTAAAGCAGACTTTTACAAGTATAATTATAATCTAGTTAAATTAAAAAGAAAATTTACATGATACTCTTAATTGTTCCAATGCATATGAAACTTCACTGTTTGAATGTTGTCAATACATGCATAAACAAATCTTTAAGTCGGCTTTGAATATCGGCCAATGAAAAGTATAGTTCCAGATTCATTTTCACGGATTAAAAACAAGAACGGGTGGTCTGCTTTAAACTCAAATGGCGGAAGTGGCATCATCATCCGGGTCATTACAAGAGCGGTGGCAGCAGCTGCTTCTGTTCCTTCCTCGTTCACTTCAACAAAAGCCTTGTGTATGGCGTCGCTCACATACACATCTTTCCCACCATCTTGATATATCCCACCAAAGTCAGCTTTAGTATCGAATATTTTTGTGATGCCAAGCTTTGGTAAAACTTTAGTCAGATCAAATGTAGCCTCTATTTTAAATTTCGGTATGGAAATATTAGTTTCTTGTTTATAAGTACTGTCAATGGCTTTTTGTAATGTCGAAACGGTCAGATTACTTTCTAATACAGTCAAACCCATCTTTTTGTTTGGTAGAATAATCATCATAGAAAGTGTGTCCCCTTTGTACGGCAGTTGCAAACACTTACAATCCAACTCGTCAAATTCACCGGACATAACTTTCTTTTTACCAAACATCATATCTACTGCGATCACATTTTCGTCGCTGACGTGAAAGGGTTGCCTGGAAGTATTTCCTTCATCAAACTTGAGCTCCCAATCACCCTTAAAATATATAGCATTTGTTAAAACCATCATTGTATCCTTAGTCAGAAGATTCGGAGTTAGAAGATCCTTTATCTTATCCCTGGTTTGTTTTTCTATCCAAGAGTTAATCTGAATTCTTGCTTCTTCAGCTTTGTTTTCAAAGTCCATCAGTTGTACTTCACTGCCATAATATTTCAGGGCAGCATCGGTGAAATTTGTCTTCAAATCTACTCCTAATTTCGAAAATAATCTATTGGCTATTGCCACTAATACACCGTTTCCTGATTTAGAACACAGTTTATTCTGCAGTGAATTGTATCCTTCATGGGCAGAAGAACCTGTTTGTCCCTGAAGTTTTAATGCCGTTTCTAATTCTGTTTTAGTATCACCATCTGTTCCCAAAAGAAGTAACATCAACGCGGCAGATACACTGTACGGTGACATAAACACATTTCCTTCTTTTTCTAGTGCTTGATATAGTGGTAATGAGAATTCAAGAACCGATTTCTCGAATGCACTACTCATTTTCGACAGTTCGTGTTGCTGAGACTAATCTTTTTTACAACAGCAAAGTAGTCAGTTTTATTACAAATCCTTCCTGGGTAGGCGTGTTTAATTTAGTATAATTTATAAGTGTTCTACGATGCGGAAAGTAGCTTTAAGGAAACACAAATTAAAGTGAATGTGATCGATATTTACCACTTTGTACTTGTGTGTATGATAATGATCATATATGTTAATACATGTATAGTGTGACCTTCACATGCATGATAAGAACTGAAGGTAATTTAGCCCGGGGTTCAGATATATAGGTATACATACAATACATACATACACACATATATATATGTATGTTCATTGATATTTTAAAAGTAATTTTCTATCTCCGCTTTTGTCTTGTATACTTAGCTGCGTTGTTGTAGAGACTGATTAGAAATTGTAACCCTGCATCTGATCACCCCATCCCCAACCTTTTCCCTACACGATTCCATGAAACAAAAGTACCTGTAGTTTTAAAATAAAATAACGCTTATTAATTTACATGAAACAAATTTAGTGACAATAAATAATAAATATCTGAATTACATATTACATGTGTTACACATACAGAACAAATTTTTTTTTAATGATGTATGCATATTAACTTTTCTAATCCTTTTTGAGTGATGTGAAACATGACGTCCTTTATTGTAGGAGAAAATATTGTCTTTCTCATAATAGCCATTAATTTGAATGAAATTTATTAGTTTATGACTGTATCGTAGGCGATTGTTAAATGCTTCGAGTGTATTATATTTGATTTCTCACGACCTTGCAGTTTTGACATATTTACAAAGAAGGCAATAATGCTGAAAGATAAACATTTATTCGATTTAAAGACGTTTTCGTTAAGATGTAATTTTTATTTCAGTGTGCATTAGTGTCGATGCATTTTACGCCAAGATTCTTCAATTATTTTGATTTATCATAACAAGTGTAAAAGAGAGGCGAACGATATCAAAGGGACATTCAAACTCATAAGTCGAAAATAAACAGACAATGCCATAACTAAAATTGAAAATAAACTGACAACGTCGTGACTAAAAATGAAAAAGACCAACAGACAAACAACAGTACAGTGGGAAATCTGGTGACAAAATATTACCTGCACTATATACACAGAAATCTTGATCTTTTCAATGTTTGTCAAGTTTTCGCAATGACGCTATCAACAATAGATTTACTTATTGATAAAAAGGTTCTGGTAAATATAGTAACAATTAAATCAAATTGAAATAAAATCAAAATTTTCATATAATGTTATCATTTCCCTCCTAAATATATATAGCAAACGACGAGACTCAGTATAGCAGGCTATAAGAGCTTTATGTAAAATTGGTTTAAAATGTTGCTATGATAGATATAAGAAAATGTGGTATGAGTGCCAATGAGACAACTCTCCATCCAAGTCACAAGTTGTAAAAGTAAACCATTATAGGTCAAAGTAAGGCCTTCAACACTGAGCCTTAGCTCACCCCGAACAGCAAGACATGAGAATAAATTCCTGGATTACCAACTTCAATTTATTTTTCTACTGGCTTTATAGCTCTCTGGAACACCCCAATTATATGTATGCACCTAGATCAGAGAAGTTCTGGGAAAAAAGTTCACTGGAATCGATTAATATGCAGCAAAGATTAACATTTTTGAAATTAAGTTACCAAGCAAATTCAGACGGACCTTATCCCGATTTAAACAATGAATGCGAATAGATCGAGAAGACCGCAAATACATGTACAGAAATCGAGACTACGGCTGTGTTTGGATATACGCTAGAGGTGGCCTATGGTTATCCATAGGTACCTTTGGTTTGATATTCTATATATCAAAATATCAAACCATTGGTACCCAAAGATACCTATGGGTAACCATAGGCTGCCTTAGGCGTATATCCAAACACAGCCGATCTTTTCTTAAAATTGTATAAAAGAATAGTAAAAATCTTTGAACAGTTAACCTACTTTATAAAAATAATTATATTTATTATATACTTAGTAGTAAATACAGATAAATTGTATGTGTAATACAATCATTGGCAAGCGTGCTGTATCAGCCACCCGTGATGATATCGATATCAGCACGGTTGCAAAGGCTTTGGCTGTGTTTGGATATACGCCTAAGGCAGCCTATGGTTACCCATAGGTATCTTTGGGTACCAATGGTTTGATATTTTGATATATAGAATATCAAACGAAAGGTACCTATGGATAACCATAGGCCACCTCTGGCGTATATCCAAACACAGGCTGTGTTTGGATATACGCCTAAGGCAGCCTATGGTTACCCATAGGTATCTTTGGGTACCAATGGTTTGATATTTTGATATATAGAATATCAAACGAAAGGTACCTATGGATAACCATAGGCCACCTCTGGCGTATATCCAAACACAGCCACAGCCTTTATCACACCTTTAATCTATATGACGTCACGTCATCTATTGTAGTCACTGTTGCAAAGGCTTAATCAAACCCCTAATCTGTATGACGTCATGTCAAACCTCTAATCTGTATGACGTCATTTCAACCCCCCTTATCTGTATGACGTCATGTCACATTAAACACATCTACGTGAGGTATATGTATATAATAAAGTGTATATGATATAGCTTTTTCAATATCACACACCGTATCAACCCTCAACCAATATAATCCCTCGAGCAGAGCTCTTGGGATTATATTGCTGTCTCTGGTTGATACGGATGTGATATTGAAAAAGCCATATGATATTCTCTATTTAATTTTTTAACCTGCAAAGACATGACTTTTAAATTGTTATATTCACGAAAAGACAATATTTCTATATTGAAAATTCACGTGACAAGAGCAGATCGGTGTACTCGAAAACTTAAGATGTGACAAATAGGTATATTTTGGGAAATTGTAACAGGTTAAGGACTTTGTGGAACACTCCGAAATGTTTTGACCTGAAAGGTCTTTAGATTTTGTATATACATGATTTTTCCATTTTTTTTAATCATTATACAGCAAAGATTTTTTAAATTTCAGTTTCACAAGCTTTCAATGCAATTATCTCTGTAAATAATGATCATACAACATCGTGTCTTTGTATGTATATTTCTAATAACACAGTTTAACAATTAATTTCTTTAAAATGTACGATTGTTGTTTAGAAATAACTTTTGATCAGTATCGTAACCGTCATTGTTTTACTATCGATTTTCTCGACTTTTTCAAAAGAAGAGTGAATTTTCCTTTGTTCTAGTTCTTCGGTTAAGCCGCTGAGTACGCAAAACACAACATATACAACTAAAGACTGAGCAACACGTACCCCACCAAAAACTGGGGGTGATCTCAGGTGCTCCGGAAGAGTAATCAGATTCTGCTCCACATGTGGCACCCGTCGTGTTGCCTATGTTAGTACAAACCGGTGATAAGTCTAATTCGGTAGGTCACATTCGGGGAAAGGGGACGGGATTGTAGTTAAGACAATTGGAACATATCCGTTGTAATCAGTGAAACAGATATTCCATAACGATCAACCAACTCGTGATGGCGTCCGTAAAAGTTACGAAGGGATGATTTTAACTTCACCACTTGGAACTCTTGGTTTAATAGCATTTTTGGGAGCATCAACCCTCTATCAAGGAAATCATGATAGGAGATACAAGCCATGGAATATCGTATTAACTGGGAGATAAATACTCCATATGCAGGAGCTGCTGGAATGTTGCTACATAGAAATGGGAAGTTCACAATTGAGAAGCTGAAATCATCTCTTTTGTCGTAAAGTTTTGATTTTAACCGACCCTCATTGTCAATTTCTAGATGTAAGTCAAGATATGAGGCAGACTGAAGTGTACCAGTCGTATCCTTTATCTCAAGTTCGATGGGATAGATGCGTTCAACATAGTCACCAACTTTTGAACTATTTAGTGATAGAACATCATCTATATAGCGGAAAGTGAAATTAAAGGATACTGTAAAGTGTAGAAAAGTCAAATGTTGTAATACTATTGCAAGATGAAAGAGCTTAGATTGTATGTACTCCAAAAGATCTTTGGATTTTTTTAGACTGATTCACGCCACCTCTAGAATAGGTAGTTTCACAATAGCTTTGAAGGCCGGCCTTAATTGCTGATAACATTGATGTTAATAATTTAGAGAGGTTTCGTGGAGCACTTGGAAGACCCAGCAATATAACGTTTTTTGAAAGGACATTTGTGTAGTTTAGGTATCCAATACAGGGATGGAAGATCCAGTTCTTCATCTTTGGTTGAAATTCCAAAGGAACATAGAACAGACCTATGATTATCCAGGATTTCCTCATTGGTAAGTGTCGTTCGGGTACATGTTGAGTTTTCAAGTGAATTGTCAATGTCTCATTCATTTATCAAGCAGTTTACGTAATGTGATTTACACACAAAATCCAAAGTTGTTTGGGGATTTATCTGCGGGGACAACATATTTGTCATGGAGGTAGAACAGGTGTTTTGCAACATTTTTGGGTCTTTAAAGATTGGTTTAGCATGGATATTCATAGACCCATTCAGTTTTTTTAATTCTGGTTTGTATCAACGACCTTTCAGCCTTAATCTATTTGGAAAGAGTATCTACGTACGCGTCTTCTTTCTCGCGTTTAATCCATTGCCTCGCATAATCCTCGACTGAATCCATCAGTATTTAGGTCACCAGTAATAACGTGACCTGCCTAATATATGAATGGGGAACTAGCACATGTGCAATCAGGAGGTTTAGACTAGAAGTCATCAATATTGAGATCCTGCAACACGTGTTTGTAATTGAAAATTTTAGTTGCAATTGGTTTGGTATAGATATCTGGAAATGATGGGTACAGACTGATCTTTTAAATGGGGAGGTGTTTTTGAGTAAACTGATTTATGATGAAGTATATTGCCCAAGTTGATGGCATCGAGACTTTTGTTGGCAAAGGAAAGTTTTAGAAAGGATCTTTTTTTTCCTTTTCATCTTTTCCAATGCGAGCTGGTTTGAAGTCTGTGACTTGCAATATCCGAGATGAAAGCTGTAAGTTTGTATTGGTTTGAATAGGGGTTTGTAACAGTGGTTTCCAAACATAAGTTGTACATAGAATGAAGTGTTGAAAGGGGTAATGAATAAAACTTCGTGCGAATGTGATGAATATCTAACGGCTTTTGTATAACTGGCAGATCATGGAGAGTATGTGATGTATAATGA